ATTATTCGTACAAATTAACATAACGTATAGCGATCGTGAAATTGTAATAAGAGAAGTTTTCGTTTTGAATTTCCAATTTTAGTCGAACGTATATATTAAACGGATACGCAACACATTCCCAGTTATTTCATGAGAAATAATACATGCACGTGTGCTTTCCTATCATTTCTGAAATACATTGCACTTGATTGTCCTCTGTCTGTCAATGATACTTTTATATGTTGATTTCGAAACGCCAGAAATAATTCGTGTGTTATAGACGTAATATTTTTAATTCGAGATCAATTAGTCTCAATAAAATTAATTGGCTCCTGAAGGTTAGGCGAAAGATAGATAAAATGTAAACTCGTATGATATGCTCGTACACGGAAAAAAAATTGAGTTGTACTAGCAAACCTATAATTTACTACGCGTATTCAACATAACTAAGAAGATTTGAAATCGCTAATGTTATTCAGCTGTCAATTTTGCTATTTTAACATAGAAAATTGACTGTCTATATATTATAACTGTAGATTTGCTGAATCAGTGAAGTTTTCAACTGTGTTTTTTTCAGTGTAATAATGTCCCGGAGCAGCAAATATTGATTGTGATCACGTGTGAAAAGCGATATTCACAGGAAATATAGCGCCACGCACTTCGTGGCGAATGCATAATGCACATAATCGCCGATAGTACCGAGCATATTACTATTCGGTCTATCAGCTTTTCAAGTTGTTGAATAGCGAACGTGTAACGTTCACATTTTTCCGTTATTCGCGAATCGGTAACATGTGAAATGACACTCACGAGAGAGATACTGCATGTAGCGTTTTAATAAAATTTAAATTTTTCGATTCTCTCGGAAAGGGAATTTCGTGCGAAAAAATTTTATTCCACGTTCTCGATTTATTTTTGCATAATAGAATCATCCTTTCGATTGTCTTACTAGGTAACATCGATATCTGCATGCATTTCGTGCATACCATATAACCGTGTTACAAGTCAATATCCGCTCTTACAAGAAGATATTTCTGGGGAGAAATTCAGTATTTTGAAGCAGATATTTAATGGATAATTAGTTATTTTATCAATTGTAATGTAATTTTTAGAAATGTCGATTTTATTTTCTAAAAAAGAGTCTAATGGTTTTCCCGAGAACCATTGGAATGGAATTTCCGTGACACCAGAGTGATACTGGCTCGTGATAAAGTTATATAAATCTTATATAATCCATAATTGAAAGGTACTGAGGGGAATTTTACTTTTGAATTTTAATATTTAAGCAATTTCGTTCTCCAAATCTCTCGAAAGTTAACGTTATATATTTAAGATTACTTGGGAGCTTCGTAACTTCGCTCGAATCTATGCAAATCAATGCAAATCAGCTCCCTCATGAATCGGATATGTGCGATAAGAGCTAAACAAGAAGTTTCTATTCCACGACGCGAAGGTACGGAATTATTTATTTAGAATTCTAAATAAGAGCAGAGCGGTAACATGTGCACGCGCGCGCGCATGTCGGAAAATGATAAATATCTTCATATATACCGTTAATATCTAATATTACTTGCTCGAAAATGCATGGATTATTATGTGACAACAGCCCGTGGCGTAATAACCACCGCGTAATTTGATACAATAATTACATGACGTTCATTAATTAATTATTTGTGCGTTTAACTCTCTTCTCTTGTGAAGCCATCCGCGAAATATTCCGCGTTCTCATCAGATATAATGCATTTCGGATACGGCTAATAAAACCCGATGAGAATAGTATCGCCTTTCATTCATCTTTTATAATCATTATTGCAACTTTCAACTTTGTATCAAAGCCGAAGAGCTGTACCTGGACGTGTCCGGTTTCTGATGAATTATATAAATGCTGCTCGACTCTTTTTTTTTTTACAAGAAAAGTATCAGATCGGACTTTTTCATCAGTCGGCCGCGTAATCGATCGGAAAATACTGGTGTTGGAAAGCGCCTAGACTTCTCTCCACTGTTATATTAAATTTAAACGCCGCGTTGTGTGCGCAGTACGAAATCCAATAAATTAGTTCGCATGAATACATTGGGCAGTCTCGCGACACGTAGTTTCAATTAATCCGCTCGTAACTTCTTGCCATTGCGGAATATATAGGGTGTCCTTCTTAACTGCCACAAAATAACAGGATAATAATTCTACGTGAAAAAAAATAAGTTGGAAAAATAAAATAAATTTTTTTTTATACGAGAAAATCGGTTTTAATGGTTTGCAAGTTCATGTCTTTTTTTTTTGTTGTTAAACTTCGAATAAGAATTACTTTAATGTTAAATGGCCGCCTATCGTGAATAGCGTCGAAACTATTGGTATTGTTAACAGCGTTTGAATATAAATAATCTCGTTATTTATTAAGATATTTTAATATTGCGTTAAGAATAGAATTCTCAGGAACGAATCGATTGATTCGCGGTAATATTATATATCTTATAAGCACGCGACGACCGATATCGCTAATAGAATGTGATGTCTAGTCACGGGACGAAAAGTCAAACGCGTGAAAAGGGAATGACGATAAGGCTGTTCTTAATCAGAATCGCAATACGGGACAAGATTCTTACGGCCAGAAAACTGGTCGCGATCCCGTATCGTATACCCCACCTTTTAACGGGCTACACACGACGTACATATTTCGTGCCTGTGCTTTACATTTTATAGCGTATGTACGTGCACGTGCTACAGTGAATCGTAAATTCTTCGCACTTTCTCAATTGTCGCATAATCGATATTTTTTTATATATTGTGTACGGAAAATTGTATAGCATCTCTCTATCAGTGAATTTTTAAACAAGTAAACGAAGAACATATGTGTATGTATGTGTATTGTCAAAAAGAACTAACGAATTCAGTCGAGACCTATGGCATGTATATACACCGTTTGAATATTCTATAAATCTGTATTGAATATTGCATTTGATTTTAGCGTATATTGATTATTCATTGAACGACGACAATTCATCATTCATTCGGTGCCGAAAACTTTAGATGCAAATATCTTAGAATCATGTTTCTACAATCGAAGTCAGCTCTTTGATAATCTTATCATTGTTCGGCAGGAGCGATTTTATTTATTAATCCACGGGAAATATAACAAACGTACCAAATTTCAAAGCAAGATTTTTGATAAATTTTTTTTTAGTAGAAATATTTATCATTATTTTCCAATTAATATTAATCCTATTTCTGCTTGATTTATTTATTATGTGTGTAATTCTATTTTTATTGTAAATATATATATATATACATATAACGAGCAACATTTTTAAATTTCTTAATACGAACATATCACATATTTGAAAATTTTACGTTTCAAAATATTTTTACAATATTAAATATATTTATATTGATAATGTTGAAACATTATACAAACCAAATATTTTAAACATGTTTAAACATTTGTATTTGTATAAGGAAAAACGAATATATATATATATTATTTAACTAAAATTATAATGTGTAATGTGTATATTATAACGTGTAATTATATTATAACTTAAATTTATTACAATTCATGTCAATAAATTTATTTTAACTTAAACCAAATTTATATGAAAAATAACGAAACGCCAAGATTACATGTATCTATAATTAAATCTTAAATCCATATTGCATTAAATTAAAAGTTATTTAAAATTATTGATGAAAGTTTATCTTTGCTTTAGAATTTGATTCATGAAAACTTTTTATCGTTCCTTAATCTATTAACTAATATCTTAAAAAATATTCTTATATTTTCATTGAAGGAATATTTTTTTAAAGAATCTTTTCACTAAAAATTATTTCCAAGCAATCAATCATAAATTGATCTGCTTCTCTCTTATTAAACATTATCCATATATATGTATATTGCATATAACATTCATAATAAAATATTTAAGAGTATAAATAAGAGAACACACTGATTTATTTGCGATCATTACTGTTATGAAATTATTGCAGAAAAAAAGCACTATGACCAATTTATTAAATAAGATATATATACATATGAGCGTCAGGCCATAAAATTTCATATTTAATCAATTATATATTTTCGTTCAATTATTATACCGATAACTATATCTGAAGCTTGTTGCTATCTTTCGTGCCACTTTCCGTATTTTTATGTCAGTATCTAACCTCATTATTGAAGCTTACTTTTGTATTATTATTATTATTACCGCTATAATGATGTTCTAAGAATTTGATAAATCTAAGAATGAAGAAGTTTATAGACGTATATTTAGAAAATGTCTTTGATTAAATTCTTAGAACATAATTCTCTGACAATGTTACAGTAAGTAGCAAAATAAAATGAGATTTAATTGGAAATTTAATATACATATTTTTATGTCGATAGACATAATCGTATAATTAATAAATTTGTGAAAAATACCTGAAAAATTAGATATTTAAAATGCAAGATAATTTTTCTTCGCGATTTTTATGCGTAATTTTCTTATGGTATGCATATCATGAATTCTACATACATAAAAATATTTTATTGTAACGACGATGTTGTAAAATCTTTAATTTATGATCCATAAAAAGTAAAGTCATTCTTTTATACTACGTACACATATACTGTGTGAAATGAAACATATATATATATATGGAGCAGAAAATTTGCAAAAAATCTTGAATAAAAATTATAATAAATTATAGTATTCGGTAAATGAAAGATGAAAGGTATAATTTTAATGTTTCGTATATTAATGTATGGAAATTATATTAGATTCTTCTTCAACGTTAATTTTTGCAGATATTTTACATATGTAATCAAATTAAAATAGATTTGTCAGTATTATTTTACTGTAAAAAGACTCTGAATTTAAGCTACAGTAATAGACAGTTTTGTTCCATTAAAATTACTAAAATATATAACTATAAAATTTCATTTAAAAAAAATCAGATTAAAGTCGACATTGAGCAATCAAATTAACCATAGAGAAGAATCTTTATTAGTTCAAAATGACTTTTATGAGTTAATTATTTTATTATTCTTCTTTATGATTGTAACCTGTTCAATTTTAGCTCCGGAGCCAAAACACGAAGTCATCGACGCAAAAAAAATCAATATAAGTAAAATTTTAGGGACTGCGAAGTATTGATACGCGTCTGAGATGCTTATCAACTACAGTTCCCGATATCTTATTCATATTGAATGTTTTTGCATCGATGACTTTGCGTTTTGACTCCGGCGCTAAAATTGAACGGGTCTGCTTTATGAACTTTTTCGTGAAGCGGGAATCGAAGTAGTCTATCAGAATTTGGGTGACCTCCGATAATCCATAGATTGTATATGACATACGTTTACGTAATTTAAAAAACGGTGAAAAACGCACTAGATTCGCAACAATCCGCAGGTTCAGCGATAAGGTTCTGATTCGCTTCTCTCCTGCCACTGCAGCCGCTGCTGCGGGTGTGTGAGTATCATAGCCCATATATAGGCGCCCCTTTGCTGGGCTGCAGCCTTATAGAATTCGCGGCTACCACCGTGAGTGCATCGTATTTCTTTACTCCACATTCGCTCGCGTGAAAGCTGAAACTGAGACGCATCATTCGACGTCTGAATAATATCGAGTTCCTTCCTCTCTGCGAGTGCTCCGATAGTTCTGAAATATCGCGAGAGGAATTAAAAAAAGATTACATTACAAATATACAATTTGCTTATTTATCGAATGACATACGTCAGTAAGATTTCATCAGCGTCTCCAGTGATAGCAGTGGACGTTGTACGGCGCACAGAATAATGATGCGTAGAAATTGATCTTTGATTAAAACGCCGAGTTCTCCTCGAGTGTGCCGTAGGAATCGTATACGTAGTCCATCGAGCGGCTTTGCGCAGTGCAGTTTGCATGCACGTTAGACAACAAACAGGCGTTTACTCTTTTCGCGCGATTATGCAACTCGACAGGAGTTCGACGCGGCCCACGAACGTTTCCTGGTGCATCCTGTTGCTGCTCGCGTGCGCGATTACTCCTTCGATCAGTGCGATCGCTCATTCCCATACGAACATTTCAGACACCCTGGAATGCAAGGACACGGATTTCAAGTGCAGTAACGGCAGATGCATACCTAATATATGGCATTGTGACGGCGACCGAGATTGCCCAGACGGGACTGACGAGGACTCTGCTGTCTGCAGTAAGTTGCAATTTTTTTTATAACGCATGTAACGTGTATAAATATTGTGACGTTGGATTACTATTAATTTGCATTAATATCCATTGAGATTATCGAGAGAGATATGGGCCGAGAAAAAGATGCGGTTAAGTTTCTAAATTTAATGAGGCAAGAGAAAAAGAAATCCAAGATAAAAAAAAAAGAATATTTGAACCAATAGTTTTAGCTTGTTAATTTTTTTTAAAACTTAATCAGATTTGGCTGAATTATGAGATATTAATACAATACATGCTATATATAAAAAATTGTATATAATTTGGGTAGTTAATGATTTTTTTATAATGTTGCACGAACATTAGAATTTTGACTTTAATAATTATTTTTTGTTTATTTAAGAAATTAATATATAAAAAAAATTAACTTGAATTTTCGAAATCTATAGAAATAATATAGTTTTAGAAGTTTTGTTTTTTTTTTATTTTTTTTTTATTTAGGAATACTCGCTTCATGATTGCGAATGAAAAAGTCCGAATGTAAAAAGTTTTAATTAGTTTTATAGCAGATTAAGAAAAATTTTTAATAAAAATTAAATTTTGAAAGTTAATTACTGGTAGATATATTTAAAAGCCAATTCAATCGCAGATTAAATATTTGCCGAGGTAAGGTAAACGCGAAATTAATATCTCTCCACTACTGCCAATAAAGTATATCTATTAGCATTTACCGCTTTGAGAGAAATTGCCTTGTATACTTACATATGTATGTGGAATATAACGAAATTCGTAATTTATGCATCTCTAGCGTAAAATCTATTAATTACCTTTCATAAATGCTTTATAAATTTCACTTTTATAAAAGCAAGGGTGCACTTTGTACAAAGCAGACAACGAAGAGATCTTTGCATATTTCACAATAGAAAATTTATACACGCTATTCGTACAGTGTTAGCATCGTTTTTTCATTAAGGTGTAATTCTCTCAGAATACCGATAAAACTTAAAAGTTGACTAATTTTATTTATGAACAACGTTATTGCATTGTAATGTCAAATGATTTAATGAATATTTAACCGAATATAGTGCATCCGAATATAGTGGTTGTAAAAGGTCCCGGTATGTGAAAGTACAACTTTGGAGACCGGTTTTTCAAGCAGGTGAAGCGTACTGACATACAGGGTGTCCCTTATTAACGAGGTTATTTCCTATTTTGACAGTACTTGATTCTAGTATTCCAGATTCCAGTATTTATCTCGTTCGACTGGTTGTCTGATGAAATCTCACGCCGCGATGTTAAAACGACCTTTTTTAATTAGAATTGTAAATCGCCTAATATTCTCCAATTAGTAAATCATACGTATTTGCATATCTCCATTCTCGACCTATGTATAGCGAGGCAGAAATTGATGCTAATCGATTAGTTTAATCGAATCTCATCGATCCTTGAAGGTTGCAACGGCGATCATAATTACATAGTGGAATGCGCATTTAATATTAATTAGTGCACGTTGATGCAAAGCCCTTTTGACGGATATAATTACGCGTGCATTTAATCATTTCAGTTATGATGTAAATTGCACTTCAGATCATTAAAAATCCTCTTAAATTATAAAGTAGAGAAATGCGATTGAGTTTTATCGTCGCATATTGCAATTTTCATGGAAAACGTAGAAACGATAGTCCTTTTAATAGAAAAATTATCTACTTCCGTTATTAGCTTGAAACTATATATATATATATATATATATGTTGAATAATTTCATCATTTTCTATGTATTTGACAAATGAATATAATGAACTATTTTATCTTGCATAAACTTGGACTTTTTGTTAATTAAGACATTCCAAGTGAATGACATAACAGCATTCTTCAGATAATTTTAAATGGAATTTGTCCTTTGAATAGAATTTTTTGTAAAGCTTTACAAAAATATACATGATATTTTTCATTCAACATTAGCTAAAGAAGGAAATGCCTTTAATAAGGAAGCATTCTGTATATCTATTATATTATACAATGTTCCGTGATATTCGCGCGATATTATTTCATAAAGAGAGATTACTTACGTTCTGTTACATAGAAATGTGATTGCAGGCATGTAGCTCTTTTATTCGAACTTGAATCTGAAAACAATGACATGCTAATATATCGAATGTCAAAGGTTAGCAACTGCTTCGTTTGCCTGTATAATCAAGCATTATTACACATGATAATATTGAAACCTCTATACTTAACGTTTGACGTTCAATATTTTTAACATCGACATCTCATTCGTCACACAAATGAAGTATTGACATTTATGAACAAACTAAAGCTCGCTTTACTCACTTCTATAATTCACAGCAAATTTCTGAGTCGATTTAGAATTCCATTTATAATTTTTATTATATATTTTGATATCGTATTTAATATGTGTATGAGCATTTTAATCTAGGTTTTATATATGTATGTGTTATAAGCTTCTTTTGAAATATTTTTCATTATTATATGTGAAATATTGACATATAAAATTATAAAATTCTATTCTGAATTCTTACAAAAATCGTAAAGTAAGCTTTAAATAAAGAACATTGAGCTATAAAGAACAAAATATGAATTAAATAAAAGAAAAACGCATATAGAGATTAAAACTTAAGCCTTCTGAGTTGCACACATAAAAATTGTCTTGATGAAAGCATTTTTAATAAAGTAGTAATTTATATTAAATAAATATATAAATTGTGTATCATAAAGATGTTAAAAAAATATCTTTTAGATTATTTAGACGATCTTTAAGAGTCTTTGAAAAATTTTTACTTGGGAAATTATTGCCTATGTTGTACAATATAAAAAATATGATATAGATATTTTAAGACTAAAGAGATAATTAATCGAGATTGAATCGAACAAAAGGATTGATACCATGCAACGAAAGGGAGTTTGAATGCAGTCCAGGCGAGTGCATTCCGAAGACGTGGCTGTGCGATCATCAGACAGATTGTTCCAACGGTCTGGACGAGAAGGATTGTTACAGTAAGTTGCGCGGATAAGTACTTTAGCGTAGGTGTTACCGGAAAGCAGCCAAGGAGGGACGAGATCAGCCGGAAAGCTACGGAACAAATGACAAAGCACAAATTGCAGAATTTCAGATTGCATCCTCGTACTCTCAATACATTCTATTGCTTGCGACTTGCGAGAAAGTTGTGTTCTCGGTCTATTAATTGCATGTATTGAAACAGGAAATAATGGCAAATAACTTATTCAATGCAGAATAATTTTGGGAAATCGATGTAGTGATAACAGGCATAATAGATTCGGTGAAATCAATAACAATTGATGCAATTCTTACATTACAGGCATAATTACTATTTTTGTTTAACTTTTAGTAACTAATAAAGTAAAATTTTCAATATTTTTGTAGAACGTTATTTTTATATATGCTATCTATTAATATATAATAAATCTTTAAATACATTCTCTGTGGTGATCTAACGATAATAGATGATATAAACTTCTAAGAATAATAAATTAATAATATTGATATAGTTGAGAAGTAATGAAACCAATTTTATAATCAGCTATAAAGAACAGAAGTTAGAATATTTTTGTTCAGAGTTTGACTTTTTTATATTGACGCCCAGATTAAAAAAGTTATTTAAACAAATCTTAATTTTCTTAGTCAGAAGTTGGGAGCTTAGCTTTTAGTCTACTTTAGTTTACTTTTGTTGATATAAACGGAGTATTATTTCAAACTTCTGCATACGCTTTCGAATCTACACGCTTTATGCAAGGATGCAATCTATCTTTCGAAGCTATCGCGAAACTAAACGTCAATCGCAGTGTCCACTTTGTCGGGACTCGCGTCCTGCGATTGTATAATCGCGAATCCGGTACAATGCAATTGTCATCTTGTAGGGACCAAGACCTGTACACCGGAACAATTCACGTGCCATTCGGGAAATGGCGAGTGCGTGGCATTAACATGGATGTGCGACGACAACCCTGACTGTTCGGACGGTTCAGACGAGGCTGAGTGCAGTAAGCTTCTGCACGTGGGCTACTTTTCCATACGCTTGCATATTTTGTTCTCTCTATTTTTTTCTGTTTTTTTTTATCTTATCATATATTGCACGTTACATCTCGGAATAGCAGAAATTCTTTGGTATACATGTATTGAGTAGTTTTTGCATGAAAATTTTTAAAATACATTGTGCATCTTTGAAGCTCAATATAACGATATAGCTCGTGTTTTTTTTTTTTTTTTAAGAAAAAATATCTCAATTGTCCAAGATATTTTTAAATAGAGCTTTAATTACAAATTTAAGAATTAAATTTTATAAACTTAAATTTTATAAACTTCAAGATGCAAGCATATCTATAGTTTGAGACTTTGACTACATTTACACGAGCTTAATCAGGTTTAATAACATTTGTAATTATAGAAACTGATTAATCAAAGCTGATCCTTTGAAGAATGGAATGATTGGCCAGTTTCTAATCATAGATGTTATTAAACCCGATTAAGAGTATTCATGTAAACGTAATCATTGTAGATAGCTTTCTACAATTACACATTATAAATATGAAATATATAAATTATATATCAAATATATAATTGTAATATCATTATCGTAGACGTAGATAAACGTGATTATCATGCCCAAAATAAATTAATCAATGTTTCTAGTCGAAAACAATTATAATTGAGTTGGTGGTGGAATAGTACTTGTTTCTTGAGATAAGTGTTAAAATCTTTGATTGGTGAAGGTTGCTTATGTAAAGAAATTGTGATAATTAATGTGAATCTATAAGGAAAAGAATCATAATGTGGTAACAAAATGATTGTAATTTGAAACAATTATTAATAGTTGCTTTAAACTACTCTTCAAACGCACACATTTTACAAACGAATTATTCATCTTATGTCATATTTACAAACGGCTTACACGAATTACGTTATTTATACTTTTATTAGCCGTAATTATCAGTGCGTTGATTTATTGACGGTGTTCCTGTAATGCGCTGATTTTCGTCGATTTTTCTTTCCTTGCTACTTTGCCGGTCGATAGTATTAAGATCTGCAAGAATTGATTGTGGGTAAAAAGTAACGCGAAAAATTTATTAAAAATTTTATCTGAAACCGAGAAGTCTATTTAAATCTATTATATATATATATTTTTAATAAATTTACGAGATCTTTGTTCGTCTATTTTCCGTTTGTTCATGATTATTATATAAATTGGCGCTAAAGTGATTTTATTTAAATGAAAAAGATTGAGTCGGAAATGGATTACCCATGATTCAATTACTGTACTCTATAATTGATTCTATATTTTTTATTTTCTTCATGTACCTTTGGAGTCACTTGTGAGTACGTTATATACTTATTATCTCTTGTGTCTCTCAATTGGAAAATTTTCGATCGTAATACTTGAGAGTGCAATTTAATACGTAGCTTTTTTCGTTAGATATTAGATAAAGTTGTGTTGCAGATACCGCTTGCTGGAGAAGCAGATAATTGTCCTGCTTGAAATTATGAGTGACTGCCGGGAACCTTTAATTTCCTGTGGAACTTGTCTCTTTGAAAGCGCAAACGTTTGTGATTACAGAATACATAACAGTCTAGTTAAAAAAAAACAGATTTTCTTTTACATAAATACATTTAATAAATATGTTACTTCCTAGAGCGGTATTTGCGCATGAGTAGTTACGTTAAAGCTATTTATGTTGGTCTTATCATGATGTAGGTCTTCATATTCTTGTTTAAATTATATCGATACGTGAAATTTCTGTCTTTTCTGTTTCCCTATATTACGATTGTGATCTAACAATAATGCATAACTATTCTCAATATGGCTTGCATGTGTGTGTAAAAGAGAAATATTTAAAAATTTTTTATATTTTAAAAAAAATAATAGTATTTATATTTTTCACTATAAGTGAAAGTGCATAAGTGAAGTGTAATTTATATTTTATTTTAAATATGTAAATACTATTATAAGTATTTATTATAAATTATAAGTATATGCTTGTGTATTAAAAGATTAATGAAATTTCTTTATAAAGCATATTTATACGAAATAGATTATTTAAGAATAGATTAAATGTAATGATACATATTAATAGGTATTATCAAATCAATTATTATAAGAGGAAATATGAAAAAAACAGTAGAAAATAATGACGCGCAAATGCAAACTTCCTCTTAACGTATAATCTCTTGTTACAAAAACATTTATAACTACTGCGAAACTAGACAAAAATGCGTTATCGTGAAAGGTTATCGGATCCACTGATATATACTACGTTTTTACATTATAATATAGTTTACACTTTACATCATAGTATAGTTTATTAAAAAATTATAAAGAGAAGTTAAATGATATCGAGGTTCTCTAAGTCATATTGGATGCAAGTTATGTCTTAATGCAAGATCACGTTACCTTATAAGTATTGGCATAATGTTTGTTTTTTAGTTAGACATTATATATGTGTATTTACTGTTTTAGCTAAAAATTTTGTTTTGATTTTTTTATTATTTACAATATTTTTTTCAATTTTATGTAATAACATAATTTTACTATACATATTAGGTGTTGGAATTAATTCGTAGCGTTTTACAAGTGATGGGAAGTACTTTCATTAATGTATTTTTTAATGCTCATGTGAAATAAATAACATTCTTTCATTAAAAAACGCTACGAATTAATTCCAACACCTAATATAATTCAAAAGACTGCCATTTTTAATATTATTTAAAATATTAATACGACCATTTAAATATTAAATATTTGTATTATATAATAGATTATATAAGATATATATAACATACTTAGTCATGGAAAATTGTTTAAAAAAATTTTATGTTTGTACGCTAATCAAATGTCAATCCCTGTTAAAATTGATAGCTGTGCGAGAAAATTTCTGTTACTAGTAAATAAAATGTCGTTCCACTTCTTTCACATGAGAAATCTTTTGCCTCAGACGACACTTGCCGGTCCGATGAGTTTACCTGCGCAAATAAACACTGTATCCAGCAACTGTGGGTTTGTGACAACGACAATGATTGCGGGGATAACAGCGATGAAAAAGGTTGTGGACCGATAACATGTCATCCTGGCACTGATTTTGCGTGTTCAGAGAATTATTGCATAACGTCGCGATGGAGATGCGACGGCGACTACGATTGTCCGGATCGATCCGATGAGATGGGATGCAAGGTATTTCATCTTTATGCTAAGTACCGAATAATTGAAAAAAAAAAAAACGTTTGCGCGATGTTAAGAATATAGAAACTCGAGAGGAAAATAATGGGATACAATTTACATAATATCACATTGCACACAGATCCGATATTTCTTCAAATTTCTTTGAAATTCATCCCTTTTAGGATATTCAGAACGGGAAGAAGATAAGCCACTGTGAGAACAAGGAGTTCGATTGCGACGATGGTGTTACTTGCATCCATCAGACTTGGGTATGTGACGGCGAAAAAGACTGTTCCAATGGTGCGGATGAATCCCCACAGAGATGCCACAATGTAACTTGCAGACCCGATCAATTTCAATGCGAAGATCGACGTTCGTGCATCTCAGGTATATACTGGCATATTTAAAGATATAATTCTAAATTCAAAATTGTCACTTTATGTTAAAATTACAATGAATTATGTGATAATGTAAACAATAAAACGATAAATTAATGAAAAATCTCATTTTGTGTTAATAAATAATGGTATATTTTGTGAATAGAGGATGGCTAAGATTAAATTTAATCTTTACGTTACATTAAGATTGAATTTAAAAAATTAATGTTATAAAAACAATATGTAATTAATATGTTACAGAAACAATGTTAATTTTTTATCATGTCAGATTTAAATCAGGAATCTATCATTTCACATGGTAGTCGCGTGAATTGTTGTTCGGATTTTCAACGATTTGTATGTTTAGGTCATCTATATTGCAACGGTAAAGCCGAATGCTCCGATGGAAGCGACGAGAAGAATTGTACAAGCAAAATCGTAAGCTGCGATCCGCGAATTCAGTTCGAGTGCAGCGAGGGCTCGTGTATTCCTCTGGAAAACGTCTGCAACAAAAATCCAGATTGCATCGGCTGGGAGGATGAGAGTGCCGAACTCTGCGGCGTGAATGAGTGTGCAAAAAATAACGGTGGATGTTCGCAGATCTGTGTCGATTTGCCTATTGGTTACCGATGTGACTGTCGCACAGGTTATAGACTAATCGACAACCGCACGTGCGATGGTATGAACGAAGTTGCATTTTTCTAAATGTTAACGCAATGTTTCCTTAAGGTTTCTTTCATCGCAGTTCTTAGCTCCATATTAAAGCTGCTAAGAAATTACTTTATTTTCCAGATATTGATGAATGCTTGGAACCGGGTAGTTGTTCTCAGTTTTGTCATAATGAAAAAGGCGGTTTCAAATGCAGCTGCGCTACCGGTTATCTTAAAGATCCGCGAAATTTAACACGCTGTAAAGCCGCGGAGGGTCACGCAAGTTTGTTATTTGCTCGTCGACATGATATTCGAAAAGTAGCTCTGGACCGTCAAGAGATGACTGCGATCGTTAACAATACTAAAATGGCAACAGCTTTGGACTTTGTCTTTCGCACTGGAATGATTTTTTGGAGCGACATCAGTGAAAAGAAAATTTACAAGTATGTTATAATTTCCTTACAACTAGAAAAAAATCTCTGTTACTAAGTTTCATGTTAAGAGATATAATACATTGATCAAATGACATGTTTTTTTAGAGCTCCAATAGATGAAGGAAATGAACGTACAGTCGTTATCGAAAACGATTTTACCACATCAGATGGATTGGCAGTTGACTGGATTTACAGTCACATTTATTGGACAGACTCTGGAAAAGATACTATCGAATTGGCCAATTTCGAAGGAAATATGAGAAAAACTCTTATACGAGATCGCATTCAGGAACCTAGAGCAATAGCACTGAATCCATTAGAAGGTTGGATGTTTTGGACAGACTGGAGCGACGAGGCTCGTATTGAACGAGCTGGCATGGATGGTACTCATCGATCGGTAAGACACAGAAATATTGGAAATAACATTAATTAAAAAGTAGCATTATTCTCTCTCTTTCTCTCTCTCTCTCTCTCTCTCTCTCTCTCTCTCTCTATTATTGAAGAATACATGTATATTAGTTAAGCGTCATAAAATTTAAAAATATTCAATTTTTATCATGTTTGAACATATACGTATGCATGTACATGTGCATTCGAAAAAGAATTTTACTAACAATTTACAATTACAATTAGATTACTTACATTTATTTTAAATTGTTTTTTTTTTCTGGAGTTCTTTCGCGGATTTTTTTTCTTGCTGGTGTCCCTTGCAAATCAGTTTGAAAGAAGCAATTATGAATCATTAATAAAACACATATATATATTTTTTTGACCAATTTATCTTGACTTCTAACAAGAGTTTATTACAGGTGATTGTCGGCAATGATGTCAAGTGGCCTAATGGGTTAGCTTTAGATTTGATTGGCAAGAGAGTATATTGGGTAGACGCAAAATTGAACATTATAGGTTCCTGTAATTACGACGGTACCGGCAGACGAACAGTACTATATTCTCCCGAAAGTCTTAGGCATCCCTTCAGTATAACAACCTTCGAGGATTATGTATACTGGACCGATTGGGATAAAGAAACGATTTTTAAAGCTAACAAATTCACCGGCAAGGAAGTAGAAGCTGTTACGTCAATCAGAACGCTTCAACATCCGATGGTAGTCCATGTATATCATCCTTACAGACAGCCTGATGGAATGAATCAATGTCAAGCTGTCAATGGACATTGCAGTCATCTGTGTTTGCCCGCACCTAAAATCAACTCTAGATCACCACTATTATCGTGCGCCTGTCCGGACGGTTTACGGTTATTACCTGATGGATTGATGTGCGTGGAAAATGGTGAGTCAGTCACGAGGATATCACGATTGACGAATAACCTTCCAACACTGAGTTACTACGCAATTTTCAACTGCCTCGTCATAGCAACAAATTTATGGGAAATAGATATGCCGATTATTTATAATTCAATCATATTTTTTTTAGCGTAATCTTTTAAATTAAAAGTACTAGGTATTTTTAAATTATATTAAAGATAATTATTTGAATATTTTTGCAATGAACGTTATATGTATATCGCGAATTACAAAATCTTTTTCTAAAAGAATAAATTAATTAATAGACAGTTATGGAAAGCTGTTCGTCAATTTATTACAAATTTGTTATGGATTTCCTGCAATGTCGCAGATTATCCAGAGAAGGAAGTCTATATTCTCAAATAGTATTGCATGTTGTTGGTGCATTTTAATTTATTAATGCTTATTATGCAAAAGAATGCTCAAAATGTCATTTTTTTGTTTAAAGTCCTTCGTTGTATTCGGTAGTTATTAAGCTCATATTCAGATAACACGCATATAATTATTAACATTGATATCACATATAACAGCTGTCATGCGATGATAAATCATTTTGCATGATCATTCTTATAAAAAATGTATAAATAGAAAGTATAATATAAAAATGCGTAAGTGCTCGGATGCGAAAAATTATTATGAAAAAAGCGTGTATATTTTTAATGCATAAAGGTGATTACTTAGTATGCTATATAGTATATTATATTTTAATAAAAATTTAATTTTTTTATTAACGTCCGATAATTGCTAAGATGTTATGCGCTCATTATTTACGTTGTTTCATTTATTTGCATTCGTGTTGCATGAATTTGGGATATTCCAGTTACTACGACCATAGCGCCGTCCACGCAAGCACCCATGATGCCGTTCCAGAGGCTCAAACCTCTGAATGTTACAACTACCAGTAAGTTTAGTTGAATGATATTTTTTTAATATACACGGATCCTTTAAGGATATATTAAGTTTTGATGTAACTATCATAAAATTAATTAATCATTTGAACATCTATTAATTTACGGTGGTTCATTTTTGAGATACACTTTATATTGGGCTTCATAAAATCATTAATTAAAAATATATTAGCATAACTTCATTATTTAGAAATATTGAACGCTGAATCAGAATGTCAAATCTACATCATAATTTTCTTTGTATGTAGTAATATTAAATATTTCAAATATATGTTTTTATCGAATCGATTTATAGCTAATTTGAAGTCAATTTCAAATAAATACATTAGAAAATTAATGTTTAAAATAATTTTATTAGAAAATCCATAAATAAAAAGTTGTTTGCTATATTTAAAGTATTAAGTACCGCGGAAAATTCATATCGTTTTTTCTCCTATAAACATTTCTTGAAAAAACGACACGAACTTTCCGCGGTATCTAATAATATATTGAATTATAATACTTATTATTTATCTAGAAAAATAAACTGATTACAATCGATTATTTAATTATTCATATTTAAGAGATATACTTTATAATTTATTTTGTAATCTTTTATAATGTTAAATTAAAGAAATATTATTAGATATATTAATATTACTCCCGTTGCATAACATGAATGTGCATGTATTTTTTTCCTTACAAATGTGCAATCTACTTGATAGCTTAGTTGGTATTTTTTAGATTTTTACTGTATTTTTATAATTATGTATCATACATAATTATATCATTGTATATAAAAAATGAATTTATTAAATTTTTACTAATTAATTGTATTAATTCTGCTACAGTAATGAATGCGCTGGAATGGGAAAAGATTTCTGGTACTCTTTACACTTGAACATCAAATTTATACTTTGGAATTTTTACTTGAACATACTATTTCTAGATCCATTATCATCAGGAGACGCAGAAGGAAAAGGAAATTCAGTAGCTGAATCAACAGATCCTGGTTTAGTCGCCGGCATCGTGATAGGTGTAGTGTCTTTAGGACTGTTATTACTCGCACTTGTTGCAGTGCTGTGCTACAGGCATTATCTTCATCGTAATGTTACTAGTATGAACTTCGATAATCCCGTCTATAGGAAAACTACAGAAGATCAGTTTAGTCTTGAGAAAAACAGATTCCCACTCCCTGCAGCTACAGTTGGAGAAGAGGTAAAAATTTTTAATTCTACATATAGTTATTTGAATTAATTTTTACCTAAAATATTTTAAAAGGCAATTTTTATGGATTACGATAATGAAAGAAATAAAATTTCAAAATGTTCTTTAATAAAAAATGTCATATTTGTTTCAGGCTCAAGAACCATTAACAAGTCCTGGAACAAATGATTACGTTTAAGACTCAGTCTGTCAATATAAAAGATTCAACAGGCTACAGAAGTACTATATCGACCAAGTGATAAAATCATGTAAAGAAAGACAAGGTATTTGCGTTGAAAGAGCCTGTCCAAACGCATTATGCCTGCGCTCGCTCGCAAGCCTGCCAACCAACTGTGATTATGTTAATTTTTTTTGTATCTCTATTTCTTTACAAACTTTAGCACTTTGTCACTCAAATATATGTATATTATGCGTGCAACATTTAGATTTGCTCTAGGACGTAAAGGGAGAAATATCTAGAAAAACTGTTGCCAAATAAGCGATTTATCTTCATGTAGCCAAATAGTTTAATAACAACTTAACCCTTAAATCGCCTTTTCGGTATGGCATACCCAGCATTTCTTTATCCAATGTTTTTTTTTAATGCTTCTTCCATTGCTTATAACTTTTTTATTAATAAAGATATATTTGCTTGATATTATTATGTTGATTGAAAAAAATTGTTTATTTTTATGAAAGTTATAAGCAATCGAATTGGGCATGCCATATCCAAGTGCATTGTTCCCGTAATGTGACGTTTAAGAGTTGAGATTCCTATTTAACATTTTCCCTATTTAGTTAAATAACATATAATTTGTAATAAAAAACTTTTTAGATCAATTTAGCATGGCCTGGCGCACGTAGCGTATGATTTTACATGCGCTATGTATATGTAAGAAAATCAATTTGTTTAATTATTTATTTAGAAATATGCACAATGGACGTTTTTTAAATAGAATTTTTAGGTACTCAAGATATTACTTTTTTGAGTAATATCTCATAGAAGTCATATGTAAATAATGCGAAAAATCTGAATCATATATTATTAAAATTATTTAAAAATTACATGATGTTAAAATGCAATATGAAAGTTGTAATGATTAAATATATGCTGTGAAACAAACTATCACTCAACTACAGTGGAATAAGAGGCTATAATTATTTTTTTCCTTTTTATTATTCTCTCTTTTATTATAAGAAAGAAAGACTTCTTCCTATAAGAGACACATTTATATGTATATAGATAGCAAAATGCTATAGCAATTTATTGGCAGATTGGTAGCAAATTCGATCAGATTCCTATTGTAAATTCATAGCCATTTGTGTCCACATTAAAATTCGGGATTTGTCGACAAGGCTTGCTTATATGCTATGCCAGTAGATTAGTGGCAGAAATCAAGCAGGATCTATAGGCAATTTGGCGGCAGATTGACAACAGAAATCGAACAAATATATCCTGGTTTCTGCCACCAATGATGGCATAACGTGTCAGAAGATTTCGTTATATTTCTATCGTCTGACATCGTCAGATTTTGTGAAATTCGTTTTCTGCCATTAAAAATTGGTAGCATATTCAGCTCAAAATCTGTCTCTGCAGGCTTGATTATCTGAGTATAATATCATCTTTTATTATTACATGTTCTAATCTCTTCTCTGTAATTTAGATTTAAGATATATATTTATACATAATCCGCTCCGCGTATTAATTATACAAACAGAAAGTTAAAATGCGCGAATTAATGAGAAATGATGTATGCTCATAAGAAATTTCTCCTTTTATGTCTATGTAATGCGTACAATGCCATAGACATATATGACATATGTCAGGACTTTCCAGCAGTTATCTGTATATTGATGGGCGGTCCATATCATGAAAAAAAATCGCTCTATTTACAAATATTATACTATCGTTTATGTAGTGAAACGGAAAGAGCATTGTTGTAACGACTTGAGCTCAATGACAGTAAGTGTGACTGTGCGTTTGTTAAAAGGGAACTGTTGTCAAGTACTTCAATCTACTAAAGAAATCAATGTATTTATATAGAATTATTGCATTGGGCTTAAGAGTTTTATTTACTATATAAATATTATATGATATGTATATGTATGTATGTACACATATATATATATATATATAATATAATATACATATATACATACATACATATATGTTCAAAGTGTAACAAAAATTGAGTCTAAAAGCGCTGCAACGGAAAGTGAACGAAAAATTAAGTAATGAAAATTGTGAATTTTTATTCTGAGTAACAAATTTTTAAGTATTAGCTTGAAATTTAGCTAATAAAATAATGAGCTATCGTTAAAAGTCAATAGAATGGACTATAGAAACGAATTTCTTTATAACCACAATTAATTTGCCAAATAATATATTTAATTGAATTGCCTTGTAATTGAAAAACTGTTGCCTTCATTATTTAATTTTTGCAAACTTCTTCTGTAGTACTTTTATACTCCACTTTTGTAACGCTTTGTATATATATATATATATATGAAGGATGTCTAGTAAAAATATGTATCAGTACTGTAAGAATCTTACAACGATAATAACAATTTATTTAAAACTTTATTATAATTTGCTTATAATATATTTTATGTTTTAAAATTTACATATGATTTTTTGCTTTGTCTTTTCATATCGGCTGTCAATAAATTATTTGCATTGTTTTCAATAATCATGCGCTCACACATTCTTTTAAGTCTTCAAAATCTCTTGTCAGAAACATGATGATTTTTTCCGCTGATATATGAAACTTATAGTTTAACGGTTTTAAAGGTTTGTAATACCAATGAAATGTAATGATCGTAAATCTGATGAATGTAACTTTTTGAAGTATTTTTATTGTACTCTTTTATTATCTCCTGAAGAATTATAGAATTATAGGAAAAAACATATTAGAAGAGTAAGAATTTTCTATACCATCTAGATATGTCATCATGTTATGTAATAAATTTTTGTTGTATATTTATTCTTTTTATTAATTAATATAATTCTTATAAATATTTTGATTGACGAGAGATATTAATTTAATATTTAAAATCAATATATTGATTATCAAACGTAAAGCGTTTATTTCACGAACGTGAATCAATGTTGGGAGCTAATTTTCAACCAATATTGCATTAATAAATTGTGCTATTGGAATTAGGTTGTCATGACAAAGATACTCTCGTAATTTGCTATTGCTTTCCGAGAAGCTATTCTGGATGAATTTGAATCGGATTCTTGGTAGAGAGTAGACGCGTAACTACGCCACGATCGCCACACATATGTATTCACTCACATACATATATTTATAAAAAGGTATTGATTAGAATCTATCACAAATATTTTTAGAACATTTCAAACATTTTTCATGTAAAGATTCGATATAAAATAGAAAAAGAAGAATAAATGTTAAACACATAATGAATACAATTATACAGCGTGTGGTGTATTAATAATCATAATTATTATAATATTGAAATTCTTAACAAAATTTGAAATAGAATGGATATTTAATAAGTTATTACTTTTAACTCTTAATTTTAACTAATTCATTAATTAAATTTTGATGAAAATTTCCAAAAAACATCTTAAAGTACTGCTGATTCATATCTTTCTTTGAAATGTCCTACATATATATGCATAATATATTATTTATAATATATTATAATACACTATATTAAAAATGATTAAATGTGAAAAAAAATTTTATTAGATAAGATTATTAAAAGATATAATATTAGATTGGTAAAAAGAGCTATGTACGTTGACAGATAGCGGATTGTTCTCTCAAAATACTGTGCCAACAAATTCATGCTTTTGCTGAAGCAAAGTGATTTACAAGTCAATAATTTATACGCACTTTATCTGGTCTTGTTTCTGTGGGACCAAGGAACTTTTTACGGAAAATATAAAGCGTTTCTACTTTTCATTCTTTTTTACAGGAAAATAATGTCAAATGATTGCCAAATATGAAAAAAATAAAAGCTGAGATTGAGCATTATGTATAATCTCACATTCTTTTGTAAGAAAATTTATGTACCTACATATATAACTCGATAATTTAATTCCTATATTGATTAATGAATATCTTTCTATGTCACACACACTACATATGCCAAACTATTGCTACCGATCTTCCACGACCGGCTGTCTGTTAACGGAGGCATGGTGCAATTGTAAGCGCAAAAAAGCAAAGTCCAAAATTAAGATATAGAAGCTTGATGGTAATTTTAATCAAAACATAGTGGTGGGGGGGGGGGGGGTAAGAGTTGCAGTTAACTGTGTAAATCGTATAACTTGTCATAACTTATCTGCCAAAACCATGTCAAACACATTATTTCTATGCAACGTATGTACATGTACATATATGTATGTACAATGAGATTCTGAAATAGGTCATCAAATTTTGTAGTTATTCTTGGACCACTTAAAATCTTTTTTTGCGCAGAAATATCCAGATAATAGTAATTCTTGATTTATTAGATCTAGAAGCTTTTACGTGAAAGCTTTTAGATCTAACAAAAAAGATTTATTAGATAAAAAGCTTTTTCTAAATTAGACTTCAAAAACGAGAGATGGAAATAGATGAAACTCTACTCTCCGATTAGTTAAAATATAATTTAATTTAATTAAATTTAAATTTTCCTAAGTTTTACATATAATAATTTACATTTCTTTCAAAAAGGAAATGTAAAGAGTAGTATTTAGTTAAATATCTTTTAAAGAAAAATTAATTTCTAATTTATTAAGAGAGAATGTGTCACAAAATTTGAGAATTTATTTTAGAATTATTCTGTATACGTATATAGAGTGAATCAATGCTTGCATCTGAAAAATATTCTTATTACCTTTAAAGATGTACGATAACTTTTCCATTTTTTATTTTATTTCACTTTTTCAGAGCGATAAAAAAAACTTATATAAAAGATTGATGCGCCACTGAAGAATTAAAATAATAATTTCACATATTTTAAAAAATATAGTAAGAACAATTTCGATCTCAAGAATTCTCGTTTTTTTTTTGGAGACGATTAAATTATTTCAAATGCAAACATTAAAAAAAAATGAATCACTTTATATACATACATGAAGCACACTCGCGTATGTGTGCGTAAATATACTTTAAAAGAAATATACATATAATTTATTATAATGATTGTATAAATAAAGGATGCGAACTAAATTGCAGTAATGCTACGTTATTATCACACCTTTGGAAGATTGTGAAATGTAAAATTTGTAAATAAGCCTATTTGAAAATATAAATAGTGAATCATTTCTCTATTGAGTTATGTATTTTCCAAGTCCTTAAAAAAAAAGATCCAATAATAAATAGTGTGATGGAATATTATTGTAGTTTTAGCGAACCAAATAAACACAAATCTCTTACATATCTACTCGAATGAGTTAAAATCTATCTTTTAACATCTTTATACTCGTTATTTTGTATTATTTATTTATGTATTATTTATTAGCTTAAATTTCTATCTTTCTGATATATTTTTACGAAAAATGCACATGCATAAATAATTCTAGAATATTATTAATCAAATATGATAAAGACAAATCTTGAGATACTGAAAAAGAGAGCTTGATTTTTAAAAGGTATTTTTTTGTTATTTATTTTTCTTATACATTTTAGCAAAAGTTTCAACAAAGAATCATAGAATATTATTATTTATATTAATAAGAAAAGCATTATTACAATGCTACAGTTTAGGTTAGGTTACACAATATTCGAGAATGTTGCTGATAAATCAATACACACAACGATTCTATAGTTATATTAAATTATTTAACATAATAATTTAATAAGTATCTTATTATTTTGAAGTAAGCAAAAATGCATACACAATATTCGAGAATGTTGCTGATAAATCAATACACACAACGATTCTGTAGTTATTAAATTATTTAATATAATAATTTAATAAGTATCATATTGTTTTGAAATAAGCAAAAATGCACATTCAAATCGTTATTTTATAAACATTTCAATGCACATAATATTTACTGTGTTTCGCGTACATAAATTATATTTGAACACAATTAAATTTAATCAATAATTTATATTAATAATTAAAATAGAAACAGAATATTCTTATTCGAAATAATAATTAAATAAAAGCGGAAACTTAATTTCGCATCTGGACGATTAAAAAATTATAAAATTAAATAGAATAGTAGATTCGGATAACAATAAGATAGTTCGAGAATAAGGTTTCTCGCAGTTTCTCGGTGTCGAAAATCTCGAAAATCGCCTGAAGTATTAGTAAAGCAGAATGAGCGAGGAGGTTAGCGGAGATTGGCTAAGAGTAGGATGGGAATTCCGTTGGTATGACGGAGACAGTAGAATACCTCCGGCAACCTTCTCGCTCAATATGTGCTCCTATTACTTCAGATGTATTTTCCTCAGATTTTCGACGTTGAGAAACCCGTTCTCATCTATCTTTACTATTTAAATTTACTGAATTTATTGATTTACATATTTCTATAAGTTTTCGAGCGTTTAATGAGTTTGATAAGTGATCAAATTGCTTTTGTTTAATTATTAAATTATTTAAATTAAAAATATTCTGTTAGATATTTAATTATTAAATATTTCAATTAGATTTATTCGAATAATTGATATACAACCGCAATCTGAGTCAATATATAGAGATTCGCGTTTTGATTAAACTGCAAAATTATTAGTTGATAAATAATCGAAACATTAAAATATTGAGATATATTTTGACAATCCAAGAAGTCTTCAAATATTCTTATCTATATGTTAAAAGCAGTCTGAATTTCGAGATATTCGCACGCTCTTTTTAGCAATCTATGAAAGTGGTTAATTTTTCTTACATTTAACAACAAATTTGATAATAAATAATATTTATGAAATATTGATAAATAATATGGAATAACGAGAAAGGAACTAATATCCATTTGATGAATGATCGATGTCAAAAACACTCAGAAAAAAATCGTAATATTCTGAAGCAAATATTATGAGAGAAAATATTATTAGAGAGAAACCTGAAAGATATAATGGCCATTTTTCTGAAACCGTAAAATGTCCCGGTGCACTACGTACTGCTCTCTATAATCAAAGAAGTGGATGTAAACTACATAACAATATCCATTTTTTTTTGCGATGCTCCTGACAATAAATCGCTGAAATCGCTGAAATAACTAAAATCTATCAAATTAATAAAAGATTAATAAAGATTCAGGTTTCTCTCTGCCTGTTCATAATTGGATCTTATATCTAAGATCGTCTTAAATACAATTTTAAGATGGCATGAATCAATCAGAAAGTCATATTAGCATCTTAGGACATTACTTAAGACGGTCTTAAAAAAATCGACTATGAATACCAGCCTTAATGCTATTATTGCACATTGGACGCGATGAGAGTCGAGTGACTCCCTATAGCCCAATAATTTGAGGATTCCTTCGCCTTGTGGTACGCGGGATAGTATTACAAAGAGGAATAATTTTTATAGTGAAGAGCATACTCAATGTATGTTTTCCGATTCTACGTCAAATTCACCATATCCATTCACGAAGAAAAATTATGCAACCGTCAAACACCAACGGTAGTCTTGTCAGAAGGGTTAATCTCGAATCTTCCAGACCATTTACAATAGTAATAATTTTAGTAGTCAATTACATGCCAATTACAATTACTATTTTTATCGCATCTTTAATATAATATTAAAATTCATGAGAAAGTATGTTCTGCCACACGTTACTAATAAACTCTTATTAAAAATAAACGGATAAAATGATTTTATTTCTTTATGAAATAGTGGTTACGAAGAAGTATATTTAATAATAATAAAATACATGCGTATCGTAATTTTTTATATGTATGGGTACAAAAATTTCTCGGATATCAACTGGTTCAAAATAAGCCGAACCCGATAATAACGGAATTTTAAAAAACTTTTATACTAAAAAGTTTATTATATAAAATTTAACAAAAATTATTTATAAAATTATTTTATAAACTTATTTTTCAAAAATTTTAATTATTAACATCCCACTAATATGAGGGTACCCATTCGACTTATCTCGAATTTTTTGTACCTATACATTTTTAATTAAATTCGTGTAATTACGATAACATTGTTAAAAGAATATAATTAAAAATTATCTAAGTCGACAAAAAATTTGTTAAATATAATTTCATAATATCTGTATATATTTTATTATTATAGAAAAGTATACATGTATACATAATTAATAATATTCTGGAATGGCGAGATTTCCAATACCTAAAAATGATTTTAAAACTAACTATAGTTATATTTTATATTTTATATTTTGTATTTTAAATAAGTCGTATCAGTCAGGGATCAGTTGTATTAAAAACAATTTTATGTAAAATATATATTTTAAATAAAATTATATAATAAAACAGTTATTTAGAATTTATTATTTTAAAAAACTTGTGATTTATCTCTTATTTAATTTAGTAAGTTTTTGAAATCTAATTAGTACGATGTTTTATATTATGTATAGCATTTGTCGCAAATACATTTCTAGAAGGAATGTGAAAAAAAGCGGTATGACTATACCTGCTTGCACGAACTTCGATAGTGGAATGATTACGCAGCGAGCAGTGATAGCACTGATAACACATGACGTATCCCTTTTGCGTTCAAGACAAACCTCAAAGCCACGCACCAACCGTTTAAATATTAACGCATAAAATTACGAAATAAAATAATTTATGCGATACATTTTTAATTATTCTCTGGTGAATAGTTTTTATTGCACAGCTTTTGCTCTATTTCTTAAATTTGTTACCCTGGTAAAATAAGTTATTAGAGAACGAAAAATCCTATCGTTTTGAATATGGAATCTGTTTCGTAATTTCACGATGAATTTGAATCAGATCTCATAATAATCTTATAGAATCCGATAAAATACAATAGGATTCATATTCGATCGATCGTAATGCTCGCGAGGTCAACGATAGAAAATAATATAAACTTATCGAAAATGATACAAGTTGAAATAGAAATACTATCGTTCTCAATTGTTCTCTATAAACTTTTTTAAATTTCAATTGTGTCCTGATGAAAATAAAAATCAGAGCGTAAGTCGAATGTAATGGGAGAATAATAGAAAAGTGAACAAAACTTTTAAAAACTTTTTGAAAATTGAAACATCAAAATGTAAAAAAAGTAGATGCTTTTGTTATTCTCCCGTTACATCCGATTCGCGCTCCTGTGCAAAGCATGGCAATCTTTCTAATCATTGCATTTTGTGACAAATGCGCATGTACCATTTAATTGTAGTTTAATATAACATTTTTAATATTATTTCTTTTACGCCAATTAAATTAATTGACGACTGAGTGTCGGTATTGTAGATACAATGATAAGGTAGGAAGTGATAACTGTGAGATATTTTCTGTAACCTCCTCGCAGGTTATGTTCTTTTAGTAACAGGAGCAATGTTTCGAGATCCCGGCGTGACACGTTCGACAGTTTCGCGCTGCCACCTTCTTCCTCTTCCAGAATATACTTTCCTAATAACTTCGATTTCTCCGAGTTTTATGAGTCGTGTCTTTCGCTTGGGATTGGAGTCGTATTCTTGAAAAATCTCGCGTACGAAATATACAAAAATAATCTACGTTATATATATGCGTGTGTGTGTACTTACATATATAGATTTTCCTAGTATTTTGTATTTATTTTTTTAAGAATTAGAGTTTTGTGTTTAACAATTTTTTTGTTTAATTTCTCTTACCAAAATATTCCCATTTATGTATCTTAATTTACTTAAGTTTTCGAGAATCTTGAAAGACGTTATTTTTCAATTTCTCATTGTTGACTTATTTATTGATTTGTTTATAAATTTGCATAAGATATCTAGCACGACTCGAATAACATTAATATTATATCTATTATTTACATTTATTTTTTTACATTTTTCATGAAGTTGAAATATAATGAATTTTGTGCATTTATCATTTATTATAAGACATAATATTTCTCATCATATATGTAAAATAAATATAAACGAACAATGTAACATACATGATGGTTATTGTAAATGAGTAAGTTTTTGTTTTTTTGGATATCACATTTAAAAAATACGCAGGATTTATAAAAATACGTTTATTTTTTCCATTACAAACTTTTCAATTAATGTTAAATTTTATTAGAGATAAAAAATTGAGTATTTTTTTCGCGAATGAATACTTTATCAAATTTATGCAGAGGTAGTGGAACGAATAGCAAATAAAATAAACAAAATTTGTCTTATAACATCAATTGTAGCTATAATGTACTATCATCTAGCCAACGTTAACATGCATTTATCAAAAGCATACATTAGCATAAATTACTAAGCATACTAGTACATTTATATAACTTTTACAATATGATTATAAATATAAGATGTTCATATCGTTGTATATTACTTGCACATATTTTACATCCGCGCTATCTTCCTATTATCTCATATATCTTAATTTTTCTGTTCTAATGTGACTTATAGGATGGAATTCATAGACGTTGCTCAAGATTCGACATTGTCTTAAGCGAGTGCTTGAAATGTCATGTATCAGAGAGCCGTATTAGCATCTTAAGACATTGCTTGAAATGATCTTGAGATTAAGAACGGACTATGGATACCGGCCTTTGTCACGTTAGAAAAAAAATAAGTTTCTTCTTGTAAAAATTTTTTTCAATTCTTTTCTAAATTCTACATATACTTTTCAATATTATTAAAATATATCAAATAAAATTACTATTATATGAAATTAATTACTTTATCTGACTGCAATAATTCTATTTTCCTTTACATTCTGTCTTGCACGTGATATAGATTTTATGCAGTATATTATGTTACATTATTATAAGATATAAATTATTAAAGCTTGTACATACTTATTGAACTTGCATCTTAAAATCTCGCTTGCTTATGGCAGTTTTGCGCAAACTTTCTTTCGTTCGACAATATATATATATATATGCATATTTCTCCAAAATATAAATTTGGTGATGTAATTTTTTTATAATTAAAAAAATTAATTTTAATTTGTCTAAAATTATTCCTCTGTATTAAAGATCTATCAGATTAACTTCCCTCGTTATTGTATTCAATGTAGGCGCGACCGACGTTGTGAACGAACGTACATGAGATCTGAAACTGGTAGCAGGTTCCCAAGCTTCATCTCGCACTACACCCTGATTTCTGGGATACATGAGTAGCGGGTCCTTCCCTGTCTTTTTACACAATCTTTCTTGAAGCATGATCAGGCGAGATCTCCAGTGTTCATAGCTTGCTTGTTTAAGTGCATTTACCCACTGTTCCACTTGAGACTCTGATCGACCACTCAATATATGCCGCTTCTCTGGCTCATCACGAAACGAGATGCTGAACGCAAATGCTCCCTCTGACGAATTATCTATATTAATGTTGTAATTTTCTAAAATGATGACCCCAGCAGGTTGCCTCCTATCGATATGTCCCAAGTCATTGATATTGAAGTAAAATAGTAGATTGTACCGTAGCTTGAACCATTTCTCTTTGAATACTGGAAGTAAATATAATAATAAATATCAAATACATGTTAATCATTTACTCTAAATATTTAGAATTGTGAATACATCTTTTAATTCTTTCCTTCAACTGACATTAATTTTCTTCTAGCAAAACTATGAAATATAATTAAGAATTAAGGCTAGAGAACAATTTTATAATCTAATTAGTTTACTATATACAGAATGTTATACAGATTGGATTATTAATATATAATATACTAATATATAAATGTCTTTCTTTATTTCGATCCAAAAAGATTTACTCCAAAGTATTTCAGAAATAATAATCAAAACTCTCTCACAAGTTTTATTTACAATCGTTTCATTCCCTCTAAATTAACTATCACAATTGCCTCGCAAATGGCAAGAATAATTGAAAAAAATCTTTAAATCTAAATTAAGTAAACCAAAGAAAGATAATGACACAATAATAGTATACAATATTAATTCATGTACAATGTAATCTCGTAAAATAATTATAACACAAATAAAATCTATCAAGCGACAGGCAGAGTGACAGATATGACAGAAGACAGGTTAAGATCGTTGCGTTACGTAAAACTCACTCAATATTCGCGTCTCGCACTAAACTAACCTGACTTATGGGCTCGTTTGTGGTTTAGACGTCCCTCCAGGTCCGCGGGTCCAAAGCTCGCTTCTGCGAGCTCTTTATCATTGAATCTCATGTCAGACTGGGGCTCGGATAACGTTATCGCGTTGTACATACGTGTCGCAAGCAGTCACAGGGGTTGTCGCGCCCTGACGAAATATTCCATCTTCGATTCGTTAGTCACATTAATCGCGGCATATCAGGTTGCGAGGATCGCCTCCCACGTCAATCAATCGACATGGGCCGATGGGCACGTTTTTTCGCGTTCCTCCCCCCCGTCTTCGCACGAGTGCTTTCGCTCCTGCGTCGTTTGATAATATAATCGCCAGGAAAAAAAATCCTCGACACTCCTCGATGATAAGCGCCTATCGCACGATCTCACGTACGACGAAACGAGTCAGCGTACCATCCGTGTCATAAATTTTAAAATAACTGGTCGTTCGCCAGTTTTCACGTGATTTTCTAGCTGTATTTTCCGATCGGCAACGTAATGTCAGCGTTTAATTTAGCTAGTTTGAATCTCACTCAATGCCACGGACGCAGGAGAAATGGCTATAGCTCCGCGTCATTTTATTAACATTACGTCGCAACTCAAAGGCAATGATTATGAAAATGTCTATATACATGTATATATATTCAGCGAAAAATAATTAAACATGCAGGAATTATGCAACAATTATTTAGTTTAAATTCTTGCTGTTGGCTGTTAATTAATTGTGATAAAGCAATTTCATTTAAACCGTAGTTAATTTTATCGATTATTAATAACTCGTAACGTTTGCAGTTGTAACTCCTGCTATTTTACAAATGCCAAATATGTTCAAATATTTACGTTCAAGTATTTATTTAGAATAATACAAAGGAAATATTTCCTCGAACGTTTCCCGTAAAGAATGCCATCAAACGCCATGCCGCCACATTCGACACGATTGGTCGCTTTTTCTGTCTGCTAGATTATCATTTTTCGAGATTTGGGTTTCAGCTGTTTCCTATTGATGTCTCGTTCCCGAGATCTCTCGGCTATTATTGGTCGATTTATTTTCTATTTACATTTTCTTGCGTGTCCTTGGTTGCTTTCGCGCGCAAAAATTGCGATTTGAAGATTTTGTTGACAATATGTACAATGGGCATGAATATCTGTCGTGTATCAAAATCGTGAGTAATCTCACAGACTTGGCTTGTGGCTTTGTAAAATAAAATATCAAATAATTGATTTTTTGTCTGTGCGAGAGTGATGCCTATAAATGTTTTCGCCTCTCAGAATACCTCAAAACAAACCGCGATGAAGAATACGCACGAAAAGGCAGAATCGATGGATCTAACGGCGGAGCATCGTAATTTAATCTTAACGGCTAATAAAGTTTTCGGAGAAGACAAGTGGAGCCATACTGTTGTGAATCAAACATTAGGTACTTATTACTATTTCAAGGTGCTTTCCATTTGATGACACTAGTCGACACAAATATCTTTTTGTCTTTCATCTTTGTCACTCTCAAAAAGGATAGAATGACTCTTTTGTTGACTTATATCATCAAGTGAAAGGTATCCATAGTTGAAGAAATTCCTATAAGTAACTATACCTAGTATAACTAGTTTATTAGATTTATAAAAGCGAACTCAAACTTGTTATAGATTTTGTCGAAATAATTGGTGCCAAATGTTGTACCGGCTGTGTCAGCTTTGTCAAAGTCCAGCTTGAGAATGGAAATTTTCATGAAGATATTGGTTATTACAGCGCAGAGGAATCTACAAAAGGCTTGTCGATATACAATGCCAGAGTTGTATGTATCAGTTAATTGGAGAACAAAAAAGCAGAATATTTTATGTTTTGTTAAACATTTTTTTTTTCTGTGTGTGTGTGTGTGTGTGTGTGTGTGTGTGTGTGTGTGTGTGTGTGTAGGGTTCTGCTATAAATGCCTTAAGAAGAGTTCTGTTGTCGTTTGGAGATAAAATTGAAAAAGAATTGCAACTGTTACAAAAACAGATTGATCTTAAACAAGCTAATAACATACAAAAAAGTGTGATACAATCGGACGAGCAGATTCCAGATAAATCAAATGTTTCAATTAAAGCACCTGTTTCTCATGTGCAACAAATAAAATGTAAGAGTGAACTTGAACCAAATAAAAGTACAAATCAGTTAATAAAAGGTTTGTGAGAAATATTTATATATAAAGAAAAAATATTATAGATCTGAGAATGACATAAAAATCTTTTATTATAGAAAGTTTCTAAGAAAAATCTCTTAAAAAGATTTTACATTCTATTTTTTTCATTCTTACTCAATTTTTTTGTGCTGTATAAAATAACTTTCTTATGATTTTATGGAAATGTAATATGATACATTTTGATTGCAATATAAAGATCAAGTTAAGAATACTTTTCTTGCATTAAAAAAGTTAATTCTAAAGAGCTTAAAAACATTGAAATTAAAGTTTTGAAGAAGTTGTATCAGTTGTATTATAGTGTTATATCATTCTCAGCCATTGTAATCGTAGTGCAATGTATATGTAATGTTGAACTCTTACATATATAGCTCCTTCTTTGGAATCTACTGTAAATATTATATCTGAGATTAATCAATCGTCATCTACAAATGTTCAGATTGACGAGCCTTCATCGGAAAAAAAGAATTCAATTCGAGAAAAGCTAAGACAAGGTAACATAAAAAATTTAGTACTTATTGAATCATTTCTATGCAAAAATATCTAATTTTTAACTGATTGCCTAGAGAGAAAAAGGAAACAAATGGAAAAGCAGATGGAATTTAAAAGGCGTATGATGGAAAAAGAAGGGTTAGTGTTCACCAATGACAGCAAACCTAATCCCAAATATTAAGATATTGGAAATTGCATATAAGTTTTTACATTCAGCATATTACATATTTAGAATATTTATTAATAGTATATATAAAAATATATAGTATATTTAGCATATATAATATATATAGAAATATTAATTCTTGTTGATAAGGTTAAGTGATATTCTTTATCTCGTGTATATATGTCTATTTTTTTAATAATGTGCAAACTAAATATTTGTTTTAAATAAATATTGTAACCTATAAATAAAAATATAAAATAAAATATTTTTAATGCTATTAATTAGAATCGCAGTATAAATTGTATATGTATCATTTAAAAGAGAGGTTAGAAGTCTCACATTAAACACACAAATATTTCAGAAGCTTGGAGTTATAAACCCGAAATTATTTAAAAATAGACTTCCTGTGTTCTTTTGTATTCGTGCGTTAAACATAAAATAATGATATTAATACTCTGAAAATTATTTAAAATTCAGATTTAATCGATATTGAGATAAACAAAAAGATTGAATTAGATGTTATCCACGTGATCGATTTGCAAAGAAATCAAGATACACTTTTGATTCATATATTTTTCAATGAAGATATTCTTCAAGTAAACCAAGGCCAAATAAATAGAAAACAACACTAAGAGTAACAAGAATTGTGGATTGCTTCACATAATTTTTGTTTATATCTTGTACATGTGTCAATGAATAATGGATCAATACTTTGAAAGTTACGAAGAACTTGACGTAAGTAAAACAAGTACATATTTAATCATTATTATGTACATTATATTTATTATCGAATTTTATTTTTAGATTCATCAATTAATGCTAAATGACAAAACACGTGTCTTGGCATATAAAACTGCCATTTTTAATTCCAAAGAGAAATTTCAAAACAAAGTAGTAATGGATATCGGGGCTGGCTCAGGTATTGTATTTAAGGGATATGTATAACCATAATATGTATAACATTACATATTTTGTTCATATGTATTCTTTGTACAGGTATATTATCAATTTTTTGTGCACAAGTTGGTGCAAAGAAAGTTTACGCAGTAGAAGCAAGTATGCTGGCAAACAGTATCGAGCAAGTGTCAATTGAAAATAATATGCAGGACAAAGTTGAAGTAATTCATAGTAAAGTAGAGGACATCTCTCCAGACAGTTTGGAGAAAGTAGACGTAATTGTGTCGGAATGGATGGGTTTTTATTTGGTACACGAAGGAATGTTAGATTCTGTATTATTCGCTAGAGATAACTTATTACAAGAGGATGGTCTGTTATTCCCATCCATTGCAAAATTATATGCCTCGCCATGTCAATTACCTTCCATGTATGATTTTTGGAATAACGTATGCGGAGTCAGTATGAGGTAATTGTATTAGGTGTTGGAATTAATTCGTAGCGTTTTACAAGTGATGGGAAGTACTTTCATTAATGTATTTTTTAATGCTCATGTGAAATAAATAACATTCTTTCATTTAAAAACGCTACGAATTAATTCCAACACCTAATATTATTTCAGAAGTAAGAACAAAAGTAGGATACTGTCATTTGAATTCTGTCGTTTGTTATTTCATCGTTTCTTTTTTCATTATCACAAGTACTGTATATTTATTCTGCAGTACTCTCTAAAACTTTTAGAGTGAATCTCACTCTGAAAAGTGAAATCGCACTCTTAAAGATTGAAAATTGAGTTACTTTTTCGAGACTGACTCAATTTTCACTCTTTAGAGTGAGATTCCTAAGAATTTAGAGAGTATGTTCAATTTTTATTTAGGTGTATTGGAAAGGAGTATAGAAAAACTAAATCCTTAAAACCAGAAATCCTGCTTGTAAATCAAGATGATATTTTGGCGGAAGGTAAATTGCTTGCATGGCTGGATTTGGAGTGCATCTCTGTGGAAGAGATAGATCTACTAGGTGGACAGGACTACGTATCGGTATGCAAAAAGGATGGGAAGTTCCAAGGGATGTGCATTTGGTTTGCAGTCGAATTTCCAGATGGTTCGGAACTGTCTACGGGGCCTCATGACGAAACGACGCATTGGAAGCAAACTGCAGTGGTCTTGCCCGAAGATATGGAAGTGATAAGGAATGAACCTATTGCTTTCAAATTCGAATTGAAAAGAGATGCGTCACATCCAAGACGTTACAATATGGAATTGAGTTTGTTAGATGCAGAGGAAGTGGAGCATGACATTCCCTGCGATTGTCACATGACGAAATGTATAGTGACCAAAAAGTACATTGATGACTTGGATGAAAGTGAATCAAACGCAGCAGAAAATGACTTGTACATTCCAATATAAAATATCATATTTTTTCGCTAAAATATAATATAAATGGAAAATTTTAATTTTTCTAATTTTAATTTTTCAGAATTTTTTTTAGAATTTATATATAATTTTATAATTTTTTAGAAAATTTCTCAGACTTTTTACATGAGAACACTTTTTTCAAAAGTACTTGGAAAGTTTAGAGTCTGTTTTTATCAATGTAGATTAAAACTTTAATTTTTATTTAACTTACTTTTTATCTTTTTCTAATTCTAAGGATTATTAAACTGAGATTAAAGTTAATCTATTGGTAGAAATGGACATAAATCTTTTAGAACCTTTCATATATGTGAATTTTGAAATAATCTAATATTTCCAAGATTTTCCGTTCTATAATTTCTGAAAAAAAACTTGAAATATAAAGAATTTTTTCAGAAATCTCTTTTCATAAATTAAAAATATAAATAAAAAATATGAGAAAATAGGAAAATTTTTTTCATTAGAGATTATTAGAAAAATTTTGACAAGAAGTAAAAAACCAATAAAATTCCAATTATCTTAATCAACGATTGATTCAAGTAACAGCTGTAATATTTTATTATAATTGATTAAAATTGCTTCGAATTATCATTAAAAAGTCACGTTAAAGTAACATCTTGTTTTTCTGGAATGAATAGACGCGAACAATTAAATAGTAAATAGTGAACAATTAAATTAATAAGAGCAGTCGCGTGATTCTCCTTTCGCGTGGAAATCGCGTCATGGAAATCGACGGGGATGCGATAAAAGGCTTTAAAATACAATATCCATTTTTTCCTTTCCTTTACGCCTGAATGGACCGCACACGACGCGCATGCGTCACTTCGTCAGGCGGAATAATCTGGACAACTACTGGGAGTACTGGGCTTGACTCGTCTCATCACCGGGGTGGGACGAATCGTCGCGGGTGCATCTATTGACGAGGACCGCGGCGACGAAGTGACCGTCTCCACGCCAGTCGAGCGCACCACGCACCGGTCGTTCCGAGGATAACACCTGGCAAGATGAAGATGGCGGACGGACCCACGATTCTACGGAGAAACAGGCCCGGGACGAAAGCAGAGGTTATTAACGCTGTTATAATTTCGTTAAAAAACCATCGCACTGTCGGGCAACATCCCGATCGTCAAGGTCCGCCTGATAGTGGAAATTTCTTGGCACTTCCTCCTCCATTTGACACTTCCCCGATGAAATCAATGAATTCGGAGTAAATGGAACTACTGTTTACACTACGTGAATGTTGTTCTCAAATTCCTAGCATCATTCAGTTTCACAACATCTTTTTGGTTTCTTTGTCTTCATTGAAGCGTGACAGATCGACAGATAATTTCTTTGTATTCTTATCTGAAATACTGCGTGTTTTATGTACGCTTTTATCTCTCGGTTGTTTTTATTGATTGTTCAGTATTGTAAGTAGTAAAATATACGCAGAGAGAGTACTATGTTTATATGCAATATTAGATCTATTTTTACATTGTAATGAGCTATATAGTGAAGAAGAGATCGATTGTTTATGAGGATGCTGACGTAAATTTAATTATTTTTATAAGAGCTTACGATCAAGGTTTTATTTTGCTCTATAGGATTTTAGTAGGTGGCCGGATGAGCCGTTTGAAGAAATGGATAGCACGCTGGCCGTGCAACAGTACATTCAACAAATGATTAGAAGAGATCCATCTAATATCGATTTGATACTCAATATGCCAGAGGCCAATGATGAGGGTGTATGGAAATACGAACATCTCAGACAATTCTGCATGGAGCTCAACGGTTTGGCAGTTAGATTGCAAGAAGAATGTCATCCTGAAACTTGTACACAGATGACAGCCACTGAACAGTGGATATTTTTATGCGCGGCGCATAAAACTCCCAAGGAGTGCCCTGCAATTGATTACACGCGACACACATTGGATGGAGCGGCATGTCTACTTAACAGCAACAAATATTTTCCCAGCAGGTATCTCTTTCATGTCTCATTTATAACGCGTTACATTTTTATCATTTATATTTAAATAAATCTGTATAAAAATTTTCCTGTATAAAATCATATTTCAGAATCAGCATCAAAGAATCTTCTGTAGCAAAACTCGGCTCTGTCTGTCGTAGAGTTTACAGAATATTTTCTCACGCATACTTCCATCATAGAACAATATTTGATGAATTTGAAAATGAAACTTTCCTTTGCCGCAGGTAAAGAATGTGATCTGCATACATATGAATATTTTTGATGTATGTTGTATTACAAAAGAAAATATATTATTTTCCATTGTTATAGGTTTACGGCATTTGTGACGAAATATAATCTGATGTCAAAGGATAATTTGATAGTACCTATTATGGAAGGTGAAGGCGCAACGGAAAGCGAAGCATAGGATTTAACGTTGCGATCGTATTGTCCAAAGTCGAATTGCCAGATTTAGTAAGAACAGAAAAATGCTAATATTCACGCATTAATCTGATATTTCGTGATTAATATAACGAAGATCTTTGAAAGAGATCAGAAAGTTCAACTCTTATTTAAATAATATGAATTTGTTATAATCTTCAATATATACAAAATATCGAAAAGTAAAAAATATGTATGTAAATTGTATTTAAAAATTCGTATTACATTAGAATTTACGTTACTTTTTTAAATAATTCGTGTTCTAATTTAGAGCAAGTTAATATCAAAAAATTTCTTAATTTAAATATATGATAACATTTCAAGACACTTGCTTTATTAGAGTTGTCGAATTGTATTTTCTTGACGACTGTGACATTTCAAAGATCTTGAAAAAGACATATTCTCATCTTTGCTCAGTACCTTATAAAACAGAAATTTTCCTTGAATGTTTTATTAATAACTGTTCAATGATTGTTGTAAACAGAATATTTCTCGTGTCTGATAAGTACAATGTCTTACATTTATTCAATTCTTTTAAAATCTGTGTGCAAGATAAAATTTCATTAAAACTATCAAATTTCTTGGAATATATTGTATTGATAATTTAATCTTTGTTATAGTTTTTATAATATATTACATATTTAAAGAAAAAGAAAAGGAAGAGAGATATGATGTTATAAATTTTTCATCTTACGCTATTGAAGTTACTAGATGACAAAAAGTGTCTCATCTCTATATAATATAATATACTTTATCTTCTGTAAACATTTTTTTGTAAAAAATAATAGACTGTATCTTTCTATACATATAATGGAAAAAATATATAACTCATTTATATACATATTATGTATGTTACACAAATTCAGTTACGTGAATAATTGTTCATAAATTTCGGAATAAGTATAGACAAAATTTTATCAAATTTCTTGTATTAAAATTCTATTAAATTTTTATAATTTCATGTATCATTAATTTACTTATAAAGATAGCGTGCATTCTACTGAATCGTCGGAATTTTTCATTATGAGAACTAATGAGATAATACTAATTACATTATTGCTTTTATTTCATCTTTGATAAAATAATAGATTTAACTTGAAAAGTGATCTTTATATCTCAAAGCAGCTTTTGAAGCAAGATTCAATTATACAGAAATTTCAGTAACAATAAGGTGGAGATAACACCTCGAATATTGCCGACTTGCATAATCAGAAGAATGCGAATTTATATAAACAATTGTAGAATTTTACACATTATTATACATCGTATTAGTTTAGAATAATCATAATATATATATATAATCGTGATCACGTAGTTGGTCTTTATAAAATGTATTGTTTGAACGAGAGACATAGCGATAAATGGTATAGCACTGTTATTTATAGTACATATACATTTATTCCATATAGCAATACAAATCACAGGATGGTAAGCTTTCCTATGCTGTTCTCGAAATTTTCGTAATAGTTTACGGTGAATTTTGGACAGATTGCTTGTTCTATATATTGGATATAAGATCGAAATTACAATAAAAGAAAAATGTAGAGTGGCTGGGCGCCTTATCAATTCGATCGTCTGTGGCTTTTCGAATCTATTATAAGGTATTGCTATAAAATTATAGCGCGAATACGAGCGTCGTTTTTTAAACGAATAATATTTAGTGAAAAGTTTTTTTTAACCAGCGGAATAGATTAAGATGAAATCTTACGACAACCGATCAATGATGGCATTACTTTCTGATGTGCCGAATGTTCGTTGTAATACGTAATTTTCATCTTTTAAAAGTAATATCTTTGTGATCACATGATTTTTTTTGTCATACGCTGAGAAAGATAGAACAATTTATAGAACTCATACTCAACATATCGACGCATGTTGTTACATGAGAGTTGTACTGAATATCTCTCGTAACGAGATTCTATTAAACAGCACTGGCTTTGACATTGCGAGATTGTTTCTTTTCGTATTCGACGCACAGAGGAGGATATTGTAACACTGTATATAAAACTTGTAAGTACAAAAAGACTCGAGTTATAATGTAATATATATGACGTGTGACTGTTTCCATGAAAATTGTCTATGTATAATGGTAAAGAAATAAACTTTCTACATAAGATCTGTGTTATTTCTTTTTTGTAACTATTATCAGAATGGAGCGATATCATTTATGTGTGGCTGTTTAATTGCAATTTGTTATCATCAGTACTCAGAATAAAGGATACGTTTAAATTTTGTAAAATTTACTAAATTAAGTTTTGAATGACTCTTTAAAAAAATCATATACATAATATTATTCATTATAATTTGATTTGTTAGAAGATTTGATCGTTTATTTTTGATATCTCGAAAGAGCCATACAACTTTGCAACATAATTATATTCTTATATATTTGTCGTATATTTATAAAAAAAAGGAGAAAAAATTTTAGAAATATGAAGAGCTCTTTTAAAAATATGAATAGCGAACAAAATTAAAAATACTTTCTATTCAATTATATTAGTTACGATGTTTTTTTTTCTTCGACGGTAGTTCCGCGTTTTCTATCGCTTTGTTTTTTTTTCTTTTCTTATTTTTTTTCATTATTCTAGATTGCTCGTCGATGCACGATACATCACCAGTATTTTCTATTGTACCTTCTATTATACCCGTTTTTACATCACTAGTGCTTTCTGTTGTGTCGATTTTTACATCATCAGTATTTTTTGTTCTAATGTCTCTGTTCACATCACCAGTGCTTTCCGCTGTAATGTCCATTTTCATGTCATCAGTGCTTTCTGTTGTAATAGTCGTTTTTGATTCCGTTGCATTTTCATTTCTCAGAAATCTTCCACTATCTCCAGGTGCTTGATATCTATTGACAAATATAATTTTAATTATAATATTATATATTTCTCATATACACGCATCTATACGTCGCGAAGAAAATAAAAAAGATTTTCAAAAGATAATAATTTTAATTTTATAATTATAACAAAATTATTAGCAAAACATGTTAAAAATAAAAATATTTTACAAATAATATATTTTTGTTTTAATTAAATGAGTTTCGCTCAAACTTTGCTAGGGGGTTAATATTCTTAATCAATAAAAAATATTCGAATTTATTTAAATATCGATAAAAATATTTCTTAAAATTAAATTTTTTCAAATTTTGTTCGTTTATGATTTATGGGCGCCAGTAACAAATATAAGAATGTGATTGTATGACGAAGTTATATAGTATCTCGAGATAACAAATATAAATAATTGAATCTTCAGACTAATCAAATTATCATGAAAATCACATGTATAATTTTTTAAATTAATTATGCACGGCTTAATTTAGTAAATCTCACCCAAGTTCAGTTGTGTCTTTAATATCCTTAGTCAGTAAAATATGCACTTCCGGTATCCGATGAGCCTTAACAGTATCCTCTTTCGACTTTTCCGAGCTGAAATTAGATGGCGATTGAATCAAGAGTGTCAAGATTGTACAGTGTACATTGACATATATTTTGACAAATCTACCTGACGTAACATAGCTTTGTTACTTGATGAAGGTTCTCGTATTTTCTCTTAAAGATTTCTGCACAAGAAATTGTTTTCGCGATGCCATTTCCAGTTCCCGTCCAGATAATACTGTTGTAACTGGGAAATTCCTTCATCGCGTAGCCAAGAACGTTCCTGATCTTTGTACCGCTCTTCACCTTTTAATGCAAATATATTTTATGAATTAAATTTTATGAATAAATTGCATATTTCATAATTCTGAAAGATATGAAGACTTACATGCATCCAGAGAAACTTTTCTGGCAAATTATGTATTGGCACTTTTGTATTTGTCGACTCTTCAGTTTGTCTTACTGTCGATTTTTCTTGCTGTATCTTCTTCTTCCATTTCGATCTTCCCATCTGAAATTTGTACAAAATAAAAGTCATTTTTAATATAATTTTATTCTTTACATACTGAACAATTCTTATTTATTACTCGTTGAAAGATAACTAATTGATTGAGAAGGAATTGATAAGTTGATTGCGAATCGTTGAATTATTGTACATTAATCAATTTGGTTTTATTTAGTAATTTAATGTCATCAAGCTTTATATGTTTTTAAAGAGTTTAATTGAACTTTTAATCATTATTAATAGCAGTTCTTTAATATCAAAGTATTAAGAAAAACTGTGGAAATACCGTCCGTTTAAGTCATTGCTAAGAAAAGTTTGCTTATGGAATGGTGGAATGGAGGATTTTACATATAAAATTTTTTGTACTTTTTAAGATATTATGATGATGCAATAACCTGAATAATGAAGTGCATCATTTCGATTTAAAATAGATTTTGGAATGACCCTTATGAAGGCGGGAATCTTCTTTTTGTCAATAAGGTCAGTATAATGTTAGAGGGTGTAATTTCAGAAATAGTTGAGCTGTTCTGGAAATCGAAGCGAGCAATGGCGGTGTTTAGACACCACATCTCTCTCTCTCTCTCTCTCTCTCTCTGAGTAGGTCATGGGTTCAGTCACAAGCATCGCCGTTTCGTTGGCATGCCATTCGATGGAACCATTCATGGAACTTGGAACGACCTTGTACAGTCGTACGCAGAAATATTTCGTCGATTGTGACGTTTATCTGGAGCTGTCACGTAAAATAGAAATGAAGATAGATCGGAAAACGCTCGAGAAAACATAAACATATCCATATTTCATAATTTATGATTGATTGAAAAAACGTTATTACGATGCGTATAATTATATAATCCAATGCATTCACATTACGATATAGTTATTAAACTAATATGAATAACAGCGTTACTTAATAATGTAATATAAAAATTTATCATAATTGTTACTTATTTGTAAGAATAATACATTTCTACTCTTATGTATTATTAATTTAGTTATTAATTTAAGAACAGAAAAGTATTTTTATTTATAAAAAGAACACATTTCTACTCTTAAATTAAATTTCTGTTAAGAGTAAATAAAATTTAAAATACACTTTTACTAATAGCTAAATATTCGAAGTGATATTCTCCAAACAAAATATCGCAATTTTATATATTTAAATAATTATGGTTATATTTTATAAATTAGAGGTTTATATGGATTTATTAATATGGATATAAAAACAATTTAGAACAATTTTGTCGTGTCATTTCAAAAATTTCATTTGATATGGAAAAAAGTTAAAATCTAAGTATTTGAATTTTATTAAAAATTTCTATTATGTTCACCGGCGCACGGTTCTGATAACAGAGAAAATTAAAATGATCTTTTTCAGTTCAATTATTCGAGATGTCGATATCAATTTCTCAGTATAGCTGTATCAAATCCTTTGTTAACTAAGTTATTAATTACTAACTCCCATCTCATTACTTTTATATTGAGGGTACAATTTGCGCTAATTAATATCAGTGCCGGAATGTCATCCATCGAAAGTCTTATAGCTTCAAAATATAAAATATATATCTCTGGTTTCACCGATCTGGAATTCCAGAGCGTACCACGATGGAAAAAGGATTCTCTCCGACGTCGAAGATGAAGAGCAAAAGAAGGAAGAAGGGATCGGTGGCTGCGGGTATCGGGTGGAAAGTCCCATCAATATTTTCCAATCAACATTCGATTACGACGATATACGCGAAGGTACGGCCTCGTTCTCGTGAAGGAAATCAAACGGGGTAAAGAGGGGATGTAAGCTAAAGGGGGACAATGTGGGGGCGCAAGAGGGTTCGATGTGTAGGCGTATATGGTAGCGGTATGCGCGGCATAGCACGCATAGCGTCGCGACGCCCCGACGCCATATTGCATTATTAAGCTCCCCCGTCGACCAGGGATATCCCCTTTTCGCTCCCGCATTCCAGCATTATGAACGTTTTTATCCCTAAAAGGTGTGAGTGAAAGGACCGACTATCTGCCGTTGGACGCCGCGATCATCAGTCCGAAGTTCGTTGCACCTTCCGTCGTACTGGAGGTCGTCCTCCGTATATCACGCGTGCCCTTTGTTTTGCCGAAATTATGCGAATTTTTATGGCGACGCGACGAGTGTCGTCGATCTCAAGAATATTAATGATAAAATGGAGAAATAGAAGAAGCTGGCTTTTAAATATATTATTTCATTGGTACGCGACGTGTTCACATTATATAATAGAGATATGTTCGTTCCAGAGAAGATGAAAATCGCGAGTTAATTAATTTCAAATATTAATGATTGCTCCTTTCTAAATTGAAATGCCGCGTAATATTAAACACGGAACAAAGAAAATTCAATTAACCAGAATTCGCGCTAATTGATGACCCAAATAGACGTATGCCTTAGGGCGCATTTATTCGATGCAATTAATCGTTCTGCGATATGACAAATCATAGTTGCACGGAACTAAATGTTCGAAAGACAAAATTGTATTTCGTATTCGAATTACAACATTTTTCCGTAAAAATAAAACTATATTAATTTACAGCACACTTAAAATCTCATCAAAGTTTTACTAACAATAAGTTTTAAAAAACTTCTTTAATATTATGTTTCTCTTTTTGAAGAGAAATGAACATTTTAAGAAAAGGAAAAAGGAGAACAAAAAAATGAGGATAAAATTTTAAAAATACATCTCTTCAACATCAAAAATTCAATTATAGTTGTAAATTCCATTATTGTGTTCGAGTGCGATCGACACCAAAATATGACATATTTATATCAATTCCGTTGCTATCAATATCGTGACGCATTACGGATCATTCCGTCGTAATCGACGAATATTCCATAATGCTTTTAAATTAACGTTCGAGCCGCCTGATTTTCCCCGAGCTATAATTACCACGCAAATTGAACGCCATTGCAGCAGCTAATTTCAGCAGCAAGGAATATGAGGCATCTTATCTCGATGATGATTCTTACCGCCTCCTCTGCCTTCGCGATCGAAAGGTCCTGCGATACCCAGGAATCGTCGATTCTTTAATGTTGAGAAGGGAAGAGAGGTCAAGGATTTCCATCTCTCGCATTTCGTTTTCAACATCCCCGAGCGTTCCCTCTCGGCGAGAATCAACGAACATCTTCTGCGGCTGGCACCCTCTTAATGATGTCTATGTACATCTCCTTTTTCTATTGTAATAAACCGCAAGAACGCCAGCATCCAATTTACTCGAGTGAACGAGGCATCTGTACTGGGGTGTCTCGAATCACCGAATGTCCTTTTAACCGTGGATCCTTCGATCGTTGGATCGATTTGGAGAGATTTCTTTCCCCAATAAGAAGCTGTCTAAGCAATTTCTGAGTAATTAACTGAGTGAAGATCATAATGATTCTCAGATTATTAGATAAAGTGCAAATGGACAAAACTATATTTTCAGTCAAGTGAATTTTGTCTTAGTGGAATTTTAATTTAAATCTTAACTATGGACGTATATAACGTTACAAATTGAAAAGAGTTACGAGAAAAAAAAATGATGAGCTTCTTAAATATTTTTTGCCAAAAAGAAAATAGTTTTAGATCGACCGAAAGATCTGTTAAAAGATCATCTAATGGTTCATTGGATATCTTAAATAGACGAATAGGTCCCTATGGCTGATTTTCAATTTTCTAGTAAAGATGAGAGAAGGAAAAGCGAAAGGAAAGGCGAAGCATTCAGATGATTGTACGAATGTTTTCGAGTCTATTACGTTACAGAATGAGATCTCTTTTTATCGAAAGTTCTCTCGTTCTCCTACCGATTTTTATTTTTTCATTTTTGTGCTAAGATTGTCTTTTCGTTAAACTCTTTAAATTTTGTAGTTGTGCTGATATAAGTCAATGATGAAAATCATAAAAAACAGATATTTACATATTTACTTACGTCTGATATAAATTCCGCAAAGAAAAAAAAAATATATTTATATAAATTATTCTAATTAATATTATTTTTTTATGTAAAATAATATTATTATGTATGTTCAAATTTAAGAGTCAAAAAATCATTGTTGTATTGACGATTTAAAAATATAATAAAGGATTCTGATAATAACTGATAGTTATGAAAGATATACAAGAATATTTAACACAAATATCATGAAAAAATATATTTATATATTTAGACTGTTTCGCGAAAAGTACGAATTTTAATAGTTTAATGTCTGACGCAAAGATCGCTAAATTGAGTTTGTAGTAATTAATAAATCACTATGGACATCGAATTCTGCATTCGCGGAGATAATAAATTAAGGAGATAGTAAACTACATTAGCAAATTCACGAGCATATCCATAGCAAAATTGACGTTCCCAGCTATAATAAGGTTGTACATGATAGATTTTTATGTACTTATCTCATTTTTATATTATTTTTATTTTCTATAGATATAATTAAAATATAAGCTACTTTGTATGTTAGTTTGTAAAATAATTATGAAAATAAATATTACATATTAAATAAATTAATTCTAAATAAGAGTCTTTTCATACAGAGGCTAAACTTAAATTAGAGTAATTTGTTTTATATAACTAATCTTATAACAAACTGCATGAGGATTAGAGATGTAAAAAAAGAGTATTTTTGACTTCGGAAAAAAGTATCAAGTAAAAGACTAATTTTTTAAAAAACGATATTTTGATCAAATCACATAAAATTTATTTAAAAAACATAGAATGTTAATCATGTTAAATATGTAGAAGAAGAAATAGAATTCATTTTTCTTGTTATTTCGCGATACTTTTTAATACTTTTATCTTTATAATTTTATATTGAAGCGGAAATATGTATTATTAGCTGTTGCAATTTTTGATGAGTTTAATAGGTTAATAGGTCTGTTTGCGTTGCTTGCATTCTTTGCATTCAGCATCTGTGCTTTCTTCTTTTTTCAATGCCCGAATCTATTTTTCTATTATATCACTTTAAAATTTTTTGGAGATTTCAAGCAATACAACAGACCTAAAAAAATATTCGAATAAAAAGTTGTAAAACCGAAGGAAAAAAAATCATTAATTTCCGAGTTTCTAATTCTAAAGTATTTTTCTAGTATTTTTCCATCATTTACATCTCTAATGAGGATACATCAGAAGAATAAAATTTGTGACTAGGATAAGAAATAAATATCATTTCTTGATATTCGCTTTTTTTGATGAAATGATCATTGCAAAACATTTCATAGAACATTAAAGAAAGCAATATTTCCTTCTCTTTGCGCGCACGTGGCTCTTTAATTTGCAAGTCAATTTGCATAATCTTCGTATAAAAATTCCTTTGGAGCAATAATTTGACCCTATGATCCTTGCTCGAACTGGAGATACGCTGTACGTATACAAGCACACGCACGAATTGTATTGGGATGGGCGTGCGGGAAGTCGGTGTGCGACGCGTCTTTTTCGCGAATTGGAGAAGAAGTCCTGCCGAAGAAGGATGCGTTTGCGCAGGACTCGCCGACGGAATTTTGCGCCCTGGAAACTCCCCGACATATATCCGCGGTGGATGGCAAACTGCCCCGGATTGTTCAGTTCAGTTCAGTCGTCATCCGATCCAAGTTGGTGTATTACATCTTGATTCTATCACGCCGTATCATCACGTCAGCAGCAACAGGTAGGATAACGCAAAAGGCGTCCGCACGAGGCAACCGCGAATTTTGAGAAAATTGAAATTGAGTGACGCGCGAAGTGACAGTCGCGAAATCGCGATTCGCCTTAAATGTTGTGCAAAAATAACAATTAAATTTTCTTCAATTTAAGATTATCATTACTGTCATGATAAGTGTAAACATGTAAAATTCGAGGGTGTTAAACTTTTTGCGTTATAGTTGCTTAAACTCTAAACAAGGTTTAGAGATCAAATAAAATTCAGCATCTTAAATATTTAATTCGTTTTTGCAATAAAAAAGATTGATTCTATTTTATAGAAGAATAAAAATTGCAAAAGTATTGGGTACATGGTATAAATAAAAAGTGCCGCAAAAATTGTGGTTGGTATAAGTAATTGATTTTTATAAATATTTATTTATAAGGAAATATTAATAGTTATAAATATTTTTGCATCAGTCGGAAAAGAAAATTCACATGTCCGTGAAAAATATATAAGGATATTCAAAATGTAATATAAGATTATATTATATTAAAAGTAAGTCTATACAGAACAAATAAATATCAAAATACAATACGACAAAGCAAATTATGGCGTAATGTTATTTCTTGTCTGTAATACTAATACTTATTATTAGAAACAAATCAATTACTTAAAGAAATAATATGCGTAGAGAAACTTTTAAAAATAAATTAAAAAATAATAAATAAGGCAAATACAATGAATGTATAATGATTTAAATTTAAAGAAACACGACTTGATAAATAATTAAAACACGTAAGACTTAATAAATATATTAATAAATGAAAAATACAATGAAAAACGAACGAGATGCAATGCTTGCAATTAAAGTGAAGAAGCAAAAAAAGATCACCGTAAAGAGGTGTGTACATAGAATTAGAACAAATAAGAGAAAGAATCCTATAAGTTGAAGTCTTGGTTCTTAATAGAATTGTAAAATATATTTATAAACTTTAAATGTGAATATTATATGATATCATATATATTATATATATATAGCATATCATATATATGCTATAAGCACCAAGATCCGCTTCGATCAAAAATAGGGTTCTTTTTCTTATTTTATTCATTCTTACTGGTCTAAATTATCATATACATTATTAGCGATTATCTCTTATATTAAACAGTATTTCAAAATAGAGAAGAGTCACATCGACTATAATAAATAAAACTTACAGAATATTAGAACTATAATATTATTATTACTATAAATAAAACTTATAGAATATTATAAAATTATATCGATAAATATGCCAAAACAATAACGAAACACACGAAAATATCTCGATAAAATATGTAATATATTTGTACGAGTATTATTTAGAGACAAGAAAACAAATTTTAATATTTTCAAGCTGAAACAAAGGTCGCTGAATTGAACTTGTAATAAGTCGCCATGGATATCGAAGAATTCCGCATTCGCGGGAAGGAGATGGTGGATTACATTTGCGAATTTATGAGCAACATTCACAACAGAAGGGTCACCCCGGATATTGGTCCCGGCTATCTCAGGCCTCTGCTACCGTCGGGACCGCCGAATGATCCGGAATCTTGGGATGAGATTATGAAGGACGTGGAATCAAAGATCATGCCGGGCGTGAGTATTTGCGAGATCGGGAAGAAATCAATAGTATTAAGTTTTATGTCAGAAATATTTGATAATTATTACAAAGATCAGTTTCGATTAAAACCATTTATAAAATTGATTTGAATGATTTCTTTTTTATATTAAATCTATTAGATTTTATTGCATTTTGTTAAGTAATTTTATTACATAATTATTTCTTGTATTAAGAAGTACTTCTAAATAGCGTAAGAAAAGTTATATCGATTGTAAGAAAAAATGGCGCTTCTACCAATCAGATGAACTTCTTTCCAGATCACGCATTGGCAGCATCCAAGGTTCCACGCCTACTTCCCAGCCGGAAATTCTTTTCCTTCTATTCTTGGTGATATGCTATCTGATGCGATAGGCTGCATTGGATTTTCTTGGGTGAGTGAGAAATTTTCTCAAGCAGTCTAAGAAGCTGTGAGTAAATACTATGCAATAACTATAATTAGACAAGTCGCAGTTTAACGTGATAAAACAACGCTTTAAAACCACTTCGATTTTCTCACTGGCATTGGAAAGGATCACAATTTTTATTCCGCGTCGAATTTAAGTGATGGATCATGCAATTATTTACTTGACTATTTCCAATGAAAATGAAATCTTATTTGTTTTAGGCGGCCAGCCCGGCCTGCACAGAACTGGAAACAATAGTCTGCGATTGGTTTGGTAATATATAATTCTCTTCCACTTTTATATTTTATCAGATCAATAGTGCGACTTTGCGAGTGATTGATTTACGGAGTGATTCATCATCTTTCTGAATTGTAGGCAAGGCGATTGGATTGCCTACGGATTTCTTATACTTTAGCGAAGGCAGTAAAGGCGGAGGCGTTATACAGGTGTGAAAGATTTTATATAAATATTTAAAATAATGATATAAAGTATCTTAAACCAGCATCTTTGAATCCACATTCATCTCCAATTTCAATTTTTCAAATTTCAACAAGTTGACAGAATTCTAGTTTCTTCCTCAAAGAAGTCTGGAATCTGCGATATCCGGAAAAAGTCAATACTCGACATTTTTTTTAAATATATCAAGAAATTATCTCATTACTTTATATATAAAAGAATTACAATAAGATCATCGGAAAGTAAATATTTGAATATATGAATATTTCATATTTTTTATCAAAATTTTTTATTATTAGGATAAAGTATGAAATATCTCTAAAGTATTCATCTCATTTAAATTCTTTTACGTGTAAAATGATGTAGATAAGAAGAATTGATCTGTATAAAAAATGAATATATATATATAGTTTACTTAAAAAATAAGTCGCTCTGTCGTTCTGCAGGATCCACAACAATAATATCCTATTTGTCCCGTAAAGAGCCACAGGAATTTTCAAATAAGCAAGAGCTTTGTCACTGTCTTTAATAATTTCCAAACAAACTGCTTATAATACTTTATGTGAACCACCCTGTACGTAGGGTTCAGCATCGGAATGCATTCTCGTGTGCATGCTGGCCGCTCGAGCACAAGCAATTGCGAGACTCAAGGAATCTCCTGCACATGCACACTTGGACGAGACCGCGCTGCTCGGCAAACTAATGGCATATTGTAGCCGGGAAAGTCATAGTTCCGTCGAGAAGGACGCAATGATATGCTTCGTAAAGCTGCGTATCCTTGAGCCCGACGAGAAAAGCGTACTTCGTGGGGAGACTTTGCGACAGGTGCGTCTAGATATTATTACTACAAGTTAGATATGACTATTTCAAAGATTCATATTATTGATATAAATTAACGTACTTAGTGCTCACAATGAGAGATTCTCCGGTCCTTTGCTGCACACGATTCGTGTCCTGAGTTAATTTTCTTGACTTTATTTAAATATTTAAAAATTATTAAGTGATTCTTATGTGTATATTTTAACAAATTAAAAAAACATTTAGAGTTTTTTATTTAACAAAATTGTATAGATATAACTACTTACTTAATGCTTCTGATTTTTCGAAAAAATAAGGACATGAATAATCAAATCGTGTATTAAGGATTAATTAAAATTAATATCATTTATATAGATGTTTATATATTTTTTTGATACTAAAAACTAAACAGTTAAACAAATTATCGTATTATTCTTAATTACAAAACAATGTTGATGTTATGATACTTAACCGTGATAAAATGTTAGAATTGCAAAAAAAAAAATTCTATACATTTGTATAATATTGCAAATATCTTCGTCATTTTTCCGCTCGATTCTTGTTACAATATTGGTTTCAACGTGATTTGATTAAATGATAGGCGATCGAGAGTGACACAGCTGAAGGCTATGTTCCCTTTTTTGTCTCAACGACCCTCGGCACAACCGCATGCTGTTCGTTCGATAACCTTAGGGAAATAGGTCCGGTTTGTAAAAAATATCCAGGGGTGAGTATATATAAGAGGTTTAAATATATTAGATAAAAGATGTATATGTAAGAGATTTAGAATAGGGGCATTGTTTAATTTCTTTTTTTAATCGAAATCTTTATCGCATGCAGATTTGGCTTCACGTGGACGCCGCTTATGCCGGAAACGCTTTCATCTGTCCAGAATTGAAATACTTGATGAATGGGGTTGAATACGCCGATTCCTTCAATACCAATACCAATAAATTTTTACTGACGAATTTTGATTGCTCCTGCCTCTGGGTTCGCGACAGATTTAAACTTACCAGCGCACTCGTTGTGGATCCGCTGTATTTGCAACATACACACGCGGACACGGCCATAGATTATCGGTCAGTCAATTCATTTAACAGAATTTAAAAATTGCAGATAAGACTCTAGAAAAATCTTTTATTTTACTATCGTTTGAGTAATTTCTTATTCCGCATTGTTTATCAACTTCCAACATTTTGCCATTGAATTTAATTATTATTATATAATTTTGATTATAACTGAAATATTAGCAAAAAATATTAGTTCATACAAATGCATTAAAAAAAAAACACTAGATTAATATTTTATATAATAATTTCAAGTTGAAATAATGAAAAGTTCTTTATAGGCATTGGAGTATAGCGTTGAGCAGGCGATTTCGCTCATTAAAACTGTGGTTTGTAATGAGAAGCTACGGAATATCCGGGCTACAAGCTTATATCCGAAATCACGTCAAACTTGCTAAAAGATTCGAGGCATTCGTCAGAAAGGATTCTAGATTCGAAGTTTGCAATGACGTTGTGGTAAGAGAATTTCTCGTATATTTACTCTCCTGTATTGTTCGTGTCATCATTTGTTTACTACGCTCATTACAGCTGGGCTTGGTATGCTTTCGCGCTAAAGGCAGCGATAAATTGAATCAGAAATTATTGAGCACTATTAACGACTCAGGAAAGATACACATGATCCCGGCGCGAGTAAATCAGCGTTACACAATACGTTTCGCGCTATCCGCACCTCATGCTACTGCCAGAGATGTTGGTAAATTATTTTTATAATTTTATAATTTATTCAAAAAGAGATTCGTCTTCCTGAATTTATGCTTAAAATAATATACGATATTTAACTTTCTCAATGCATCACAAGTTTTCTTGAATACTTCATTGAAGATTTTGTGATAATTATAGTTCAGCTCATCATTTCTATCTATAACTAGTGTATCATGTGTACAAAATATTAGATAAATATAATACAAATATATTATTTTTATCTAATATTATTACATATTCTATAATTATGGATTTTCTTCATTTGCATATTGTATAAAAAAAATATGTATGTATTGTCTTGAATTAATTCTGTGACATTTAAGACACGGCGTGGAGCATTATAACGGACTATCTAAGTGAATTATTGGAATTCAATGTAAGTTGGAACATAATTATATTAAAATGTTAAAAAAGAATGTTTGTACATAGTCGAATATTTGCACATCAGGATGTAATGGACGAGTTAGCGGACATTCGCGAGAAGAAGAGGAAGGCTACTTTGGAGCAAAGGAGATCTTTCTTCGTGCGCATGGTATCTGATCCTGCGATTCAGCCAGGATTCACGAAAACTCCGAACAGGACAGGAGCCAAACTCGACACGCAAGCAACAATTGGTGGTATCGGATCGAATACTCATTCCGGAACGTAAGATAATTATATTTCAATTATTATAAAAATATATGATTGATTATATAATTAACACGATAATAAATATAAATTAATACAATTAATATAATTAATTTATTAAAATTAAATTCTAGCATATATAAGTAATATAAATGTATACAATTTTTTTATTTAGGAAATCCTGGATATCTTGGCCACTTGCTTATCTCATGCAGGCGAAAGAAGCTGCTGATACAAGTGAATTATCGCTCAGGTATTCTTCTATTTATTCTAATTTGAACATTTATTATTAACTTACATTATTTCTAAAATGAATAGACTATTCATGTTTTCAAAGAGTTAATCATACACTCATAAAAATATTTTTTGCTCTTAATTATTTTTTACGTAAAGATACAATTCGCGATTTTAATGTTTATTTTAAGACTAATTCCAAATTGATTTTTTTTTAAGAATATTTAAAAATTAAAAAATATTTAAAAATAATAATTTAAAAGTAAGTTTTTTCGTCATACAGTTTGATTGATCGGATACAGATGAAATTTATTTATTGTCGCATTTAGAGTTATGTAGAAAATTTTATTGCGACACATGTTCTGAGAATACCGCTATCGTACAGATGACAACGTAATGCAATGTAACACTATACTTGTATACAGCAGTTCCGATATCACATGCCGCTATTATTTATAGGGACAAATAGTGTCTTTTCTCTTATCGTCACCATTATCGACCACTAACATAATGACATCTGACTCCATTGAATGTACGAGTTCATTTCAGAATGATCCATACGAAAGAGCACTGGGATACGAAACACGTCGTTATCTACTACCTTTGCGTCCGGTCAACTTTTCTTCCCCATCAATCAGAGCGAATTTTATTTGTTTCTTGTTTTAATCTCACGAATTCGTTAGAAAGAGCATCGTAGATGCGAAAAACGTAAAAAAATATCTTAAACCAACGAAAGTAATTTTATTGAAAGTATTTAATAACTCATGCGAACTACTTTCTAATTCAAAATGTTATATTTTTATGAAGATGTATTTAAGTTTATATCTCTCTTTTTTTGCATATGTAATTTTTTATGTTATCGTAAACAACTTTTCGAAAATGTTCGTTCGATTGATTTATGATTACAAAGGCGTAATATAGATGCTTTTTTTTGGAATTCCAACAAAAGTCAGAAAATATGGTCTTTATCGACTTACGTATCTTTTTTACATGACTAATATTAGAGAAATAAAACTTTTCTACATTATTTATAGATTGATCAAAGCAAAGTGATAAGACATACAAATATAAAATACACACAACAAAAAGGCATTAATTTTGCGCTAAGTAGCTATTTAAATAAGCAGCTAAAAAACAATAAACAATTTATATAAGCATTTTTGACATTTATATAAGCATTTATATAAGCATTTTTGAAAGTATAAGCTTACAATATTTAAGTTACTTACTGCAAATTTATGTTTGATTTCTTATATTACTTGTCTTATTCTTCTATTTTCTAAAAGACACGAATATGTAAAAATTCTTGAGACTATTATGTATGCGGTAAAAAGTCAAAGAAGAAATATTTCTTCACGTATGAAAGAAGCTTATCAATTTCGCTCCAGTCGATCTGCAATGCAAAAAAAAGACTTATTTCTAAAATAGTATGCAAAACATGTTTACGTAAGTGTAGGTATCTTAACAGCTCAATTTATGAAAATATAGCCAATGATTTTTTAGTATATAAAAGTATCATATAAAAATATAAGCTGCAATATGTTTGTCAAAATTCATTACTTGCATTTTCATTTAGACATCTTTCCTTCTACTTTAAAGAATGTTACTAATGAATATGATAAATGATTTCACTAGGAAATATTGCATGGAAAAAATATATAATTATAAGATAAAAATCATGCTTTCCGACTTTCATTGGAATTTAAAAAAAAGAATATCACTATAATAATAAATCAAGTAGACAAGTATTTTAGCAAAGTTGTTTACGACATACATAAAAAACTTATATACATAGACCTCCATAAAAATACAATATTTTGAATTGGAAAGTGGTTTGTAATCACTAAATACTGCAACATTTGATTACAGGGACCACATTTCCAATCTGCAATTCATATAAAAACACATATGTGTGAACATGTGCATGTACAGAAATTCGCGCGCGAGTATTTTTTTTATCTCTAGGCAAATTACATTCATTTTTACGTAAAAAAAATTATATTTTGTTCAACAATGTTATCGCTGCAAACAACATTATCTAATACTCTATTTCCGTTTTTTGTCATTATTTTTATCTTGATTTTCGCACGCACAGATTCCGCCACTTGGACACCATGGTACGCCTGAAGACCGGCGGTACCGGAAGTCGCCGCGATAGCAGTAACGGATGCAGCCCGGATCCGTCCCCGTCTGCTTCGCCCTCGCGAGGCAGATCGCCCAACGGCCGCGCGTAATCGCATTACATCGATCTTTTCTTTCTTCGTGCAATTTTTCCAAGGAGTCCTCTAAGCGTATAACAATCGCAATGAACGACTCTCTGTGCTCCGAAACCCCATCTGTGTGCTCCAAGAAAATAGACAGAAGGAAAATCCACTAGTTACGACTTTACATCGGGAACTGATACTGCCGACAATCTCGATATACAAGCCCACCTTAGACCACATATATAATTTGGGACAGAGGGAAATAATTCTTTATATATACATATATAAAACATGCCTAATATTTTCATGTGTCAAATTGTAAATATAATTATGGATAAGAAAAGAGAAATCTTATATTATATCTCAAATTATAATTACATATATTATTTAAATCTTGCAAAAATTATTTAGATCCTTTACATTAATATTATATGTTCTCGGTGTAAAAATAAAGTTATTGTAAAACAACTGAAGCTTTAAATTGATAATTATAATTATTAAGTCTGTCATTTTAATTATATATATATATATATACTATTTTCTATTAGGAATTTATATGCTTCAATCTTATTATCAATTGAATTTTGATTCTCTACAGATGTCTTTTGTATTATGAGATATATAGAATAATTATACGTAGAGTTTTATTCCAAATTCTGTCGCGAATTACAGCTTGTCTAAAATGGGCTTGAACAAACTTTAAAGAACAAACTTTGTGTTAAATTGCTCATCAAGAGATAGAATCGATGAGATGTTACCAAAATTGCCCCGTGGTATGTTTCACTCAATAAGAAATTAAATACGTTTCAGTCTCAACTGTGCGTCGTTTTTTTTAACATTCCCAAATCACAAAAACTAAAAAAAGGGAGATATAAAACTTGAAAAATATAAGAAAAATCTTAAAATTTCTCGAATGCTTTATGACTAAATTTCCGATTCTCATGAAAAAAAAGAAAATCCTTTTGATTAAAAAAAAATTCAAAATTTGGATAAAATATTAAAATCTTAAAAAATATATTAATACATATTATATATCATGTATGATTTTATATCTTTATATATATAAAATTATTAAAAATTATTTCAACTACTAAAAACAAATTAGAAAACACAATTTGAAGACATAGTTTTAAAACATTGCAAGAATGAGTCATAAGTTAAGAGTCGTAAGTATAAAATTATGTATATACGCTATGTGCGAGATAAGCACGTATCCAGACAACAAAAAGTGTCTAAAATCGAATCATAAGAAGGTTTTCTGCGTCTAAAAAACGACTTAAAGACATCTTATGTCACAATTTTAGACTTTATATTGTTTGAGCACAAAAAAGTTGAAGCGCAATATGTAATCTTCTCTACTATTTAATTGTTTTATTTGTCTACGTACTACGACCAATTTTAAAATTTTCATTTATGTACTATACACGAAACTGATTCAGTAAACAATGTCTGCGACATCCTTGACAGTGTTGGATTCGCTAATTTCGTTGAAATAACTACTATAATACAAGTAAGTAATAAATGCAAAAAGAATTGTCACCGATCAGAATGAATTTTAATTACTTCTCACGCGTTCACGAGCACCAAAGCTCTATCGGGATTTCAATTCGGAAAACGTTGGCTGCGAGTAGATCATGCGTGAAGGTGGCGATGAGAAAACGATCGGCATGTGTGTATGTGTGTGTATGTGTTACGAAGATTGAGCGGTGACCTGTCACCGCTTCCACGGGGTGTGTTGTAAATGTAGGTGAAGAGTAAATGTCTATTTATAACGATGGAGAGACGATGAGGATAAGGGACCAGCGGGGGAGAATTTACCCCCGTGCGCAGAACATGGCACCCTGTATGGGACATTTATTCAAACAGCGACCCCGCTACAACGTCATTGATGCTGATCTGCAACACTGACTTCCGAATTTTCATATTGCAAATATCGATTAAAGAAATATTCGAGAAAAGAACCGATCTTACGATTTAGTAAAAACACTATGGTCATTGCCAAAAATAGTTTGTATAGCGATACTTTTAATCGATAATTTAAAAAAAAATTGCGTTCATTTCGGTAGTGAAACGTTAAATGTGCAAAAAAGCTACTTTTGTTTGTGCTACGACTATAATGAGTCAGTAATAGCGAAAAAATGAATGAGAAAAAATTATCGATTTTTATCGTATAATACTAAAATTATTTAGAAGAATCCGTTCAAGAAGCGGCTTGCGTAATAATGCGCAAAGTTTATAATATATTACTGTGTACAAAAAAATTAAATATTTTGCAAAAGAAATTATTAATAAGATAACCACTAAATTTTTTGGAATGGAATCTCGTTCTAAAGAGAAAATTGAGATAGTCTTTTCAATATTTAAGAATGAGATTTCATTCTTTAGGAGTGAGATTCATTTTAAAAGTTTTAGAGAATACAGTTTGTTACAGTATTAGTCATGTTTTCTAACGTATAGAAACGTAATTTTAACGTATAAAAAAGATAATTAATATTCATATTAAATTTATTTATTATCAATTTTAGGATATTCGCGTTGAATATCAATAGATCCGTGTAAATTTATTCAGATCCAATTACCAGGATGATTTTAGAATTTAGAATTTAGAAGATGCGTCACAGGACCGTACTGGTCAGGAAATTCCAAGGGAAATTCTCTCTCCCTCGTGATCGGAAAATCTTTGTTAGGAAAATAAATTTCATTACGCTTTCTCCCCAGTTTCCTGTCTCTCTCTCTCCACCTGAATTTTATCTACGTGATAGCAGGGGCGTACGGAGCCGAGGCGCGCATAAAACTGACCGGCGCTTCGGCAGATGCTACTAGTCTCTCGTCTGACGTGGCTCGTGGCAAATGTTCGATACGTACGAGGGAAAATCGCGCGGCGCTCGAGTTACGAGAATACGCGAGAAGAAGTACGCGCGATCGAGGGGGCCGATTTTCCGGCAAAGTGGAGCTTTTCGAGCGGTAGCGGAAACGAAACGTGAGTGGAACCGATGGGCCACACCGTCGAAACTCATCAACGTCGCCGTTCGCCACTCGTTCGCTTCAGAATTGCACCCCTTTCAAAGTCGCGTTTTAAAAATCTGCATTCGCTTACGTAAGAGGATCTGGCGTAAACAGTCGATTTTTCGTCAAAGAGTAATCAATTTTTCGAGTGGTAGCAGAAAAGAAATGTGAGCGTACTTTGGACGCTTCGTCCAAGTTCTTCCAAAGCTTCGTCCGCCGCTTGTTCCGCTTGGATTTTTTTAAAAGTTCCGTTACAAAATCTACATTTTGTTACACTTTATTAAAAAAAAAAAAAAGAAAAGAAAGTTTCATTCACTGGAGAAAAAAGAATAAAAAATATGACCGATTAAAAATTACATTTACAGATTTTACGTTCAAGAGTTAAAAAAATATGACTTGTTCGTTATGAAATTCAAGTTTTCGTCAAACAGAAATTTGAGCTGAATATACGTGATTTTATTGTTTGTCCAAACTTACGTCTCCATAATATTTATCATGTGGTACCTCGTGTGTAATTAATTCAGTACACGAGCATCCCACGACGTTACTTTCATAATATTTTTGCGGATTATTATTAGACGCGTCGATATCACATTTCCTTTTGCTCGAAAGAATTAATAACGCCGCGAAGAGTCCTCGCAAAAGCGCGGAAGACTTGATCCTTTTCTAAAGCAAATATAGGAGGATAATAGCGAGAAGAGAGGCGCATCGGCCGCGCCGATAGGGACGTTTAAAAAAAAGAAAGTCACGAACGCATGTGCGACGTGTAGGTACGTCGCGTTCGTGCCTAATCAGGCGGGTGTTTGCACGCTCTGACGCTTCTTCGCGAAAATCGCTGCATTCCAGCCCGGGGTACTCTGGCATCATGAACATCGATGAATTTCGCGTGCGCGGCAAGGAGATGATCGAGTACATATGCGACTACATCCGCACGTTGGATGGCAAGAGAGTGACGGCGAACGTCGATCCCGGTTACCTGAGACCTCAGCTGCCGAAGGAGGCACCCTTTAAGCCGGAATCATGGGACGCCATCATGATGGACGTCGATGGCAAAATAATGCCCGGAGTGAGTTTGCGGTTGTAACGGGTTTGCCGCGATTATCGATCCCCTTTCTCCCTCCCTCTCTCTCTCTCTCTCTCTCTCTTGCAATTGATTTCAACCCCCTTTTCCGATATAAATAATGTTCCTGCACGTGAAAGAGAGAAAAAAAACAGATAAAAACCGTTTCTTCTCTCTCTCTCTCTCTCTCTCCCTCTTTTTCTCAGAGATTTACAAAACTAACAACGTGATATTTGATAGAGCAATCGCGTTTTTTCAGTTTTTTACCGATGAAACAAGTTTTTCCGAATACACTCTTTGCGAGAACTTGAGGAAAAGTTAAGGTCGACCAGTGATGTAAAATGTTTGTGATGAACGTGTATTATGTAAACTTTGTAAAAGAACAAACAATAGAATTCACAGTCAATAGAAATATTTTTCCAGCAGACAACAAAAAGTCCAAAATCGAGATAAAACGTCTTTAAAAAAAAAATTTAAGCCGTCTTATTTTCGAACATGCGTGTTGTCTGAATTAATAAATTTAAGGGTACCATTAAACACTTTCTATTCATGGCATTTGATATATATACATATATATTTTTATTTCAAATCGAAATTTAACATTAGGTAATGTCCAATTAAAAAACAAAAAGATACAGATTTATAAAAATTTCTAAATTGTTATTAAAATTGTTAGTAAAGAATTCATTTCATACTCAACGATATTAGAATTAATATACTCTCTAAAATTTGTAAAGTGAATCTCACTCTGAATAGTGAAATCTCACTCTTAAAAATTGGAAATTGAGCCACTTTGTTTCAAGACTAGCTCAATTTTCATTTTTTAGACTGAGATTCCACTCCAAAGAATTTAGAGAGTAAGAGGTGAAAATTAAAGTAAAATTTAAGATAAAAATTAAGAAGATCTCGTAAATTAAGATTGCCCAATGTGATAGAAAACGTTTAAAAATAATTTTAATCGAGCACGATCGGTCGGCTGAACAATTGAAGGACGATGACAACGTCACAACATTTCGATCTCCGTTTCCGACACAGATAACGACTTTGAGAACGTCGCGTCGCGACACACGCGACTTTTTCACAAGCGCATACGAAGTTCGTTCTTAATCCAATGCAATGTTATCACGGTGACAATGAAAGTTGCTGTTGTCCACCGGCATTTCCGCCGTTCATTCTGTTGTCCCATTCCATTCTATTCCATTCTTCCCGTGGATAAATCAATTTCAGAACATAAAAGTAGGTTACTCGACTTGGAGGACAATGCTTTTTACAGATCACTCACTGGCAGCATCCACGATTCCACGCCTACTTCCCGTCCGGCAACTCGTTCCCCTCAATCCTGGGTGACCTACTGTCAGATGCGATCGGTTGCATCGGCTTTTCGTGGGCGGCTAGCCCGGCTTGCACCGAGCTCGAGACAATCGTGTTGGACTGGTACGCTAAGGCGATCAACCTGCCGACCGAGTTTCTGTCGGAGCAAAAAGTTGGCGGCGGCGTGATCCAGGGTTCAGCCTCCGAATGCATCCTGGTGACGATGCTGGCAGCGCGAACGCAGGTTATCAAGAAGCTGAAGGAGCAGGAACCCAATAAGGAGGACTCGGCGTTTCTACCGAGATTGGTGGCCTACTGTTCCACGGAGTCGCACTCGTGCGTAGAGAAGGCGGCGATGATAAGCCTGGTGAAACTCCGAGTGCTCGAGCCGGATGATAAGGCCGCATTACGTGGCAAACGACTCGAATTAGCCATCAAGGAAGACGTGGAGAACGGTCTCGTGCCATTCTATGTGTCCGCCACTCTGGGTACCACTGGATCCTGCGCTTTCGACAATCTCGTGGAGATCGGGCCCGTGTGCAAATTGTATCCCAATATCTGGCTACACGTGGATGGCGCTTACGCCGGTAACGCTTTCATCTGCCCGGAGATGAGGCCATTTATGGACGGCATCGAACACGCCGATTCGTTCAACACGAATCCCAACAAGTGGTTGCTGGTGAACTTCGACTGCTCCTGTCTCTGGGTGCGCAATCGAGTGAAGCTCACATCAGCACTGGTCGTCGATCCACTCTATCTTCAACACGCTCGCTCGGGAGAGTCGATCGACTACCGTCACTGGGGTATCCCGCTTAGCAGACGATTTCGAGCGTTGAAACTCTGGTTCGTTATGAGATCGTACGGTATCAGTGGCTTACAGAAGTACATTAGGAATCACATAAGGCTAGCCAAGAGATTCGAGGCGCACATGAAGAAAGACAAGCGCTTCGAAATCTTGAACGATGTGCGAGTCGGCCTGGTGTGCTTCCGATTGAAGGAGAGCGAGGAGATGAATCAGGAGTTGTTAGCTAACATTAACGCTTCCGGTCGGTTACACATGATACCAGCTCGTGTGATGGGCAAGTATATCTTGCGTTTCTGTGTGACAAAGGAGGATGCGACCGAGGACGATATCGATTATGCCCTCAGCGTGATCGAAGAACATGCTACGGAGGTGATGCTGGCTCACTACGAGGGCACGGAGGACGAGTACAGAGCGAAGGGCCCGAAGAGTCCGAACGCTCTCGACAAGAAACTCGTCCGGAAGTTCAGCTTCACCAGGAGCGTCACCAGAGACGTTTACAAGAGATCCATCTCCAAATCTAGCTTACACGACGGCGCGACACCCATTATGGTCGTCGACGATAATTCGCAAGTCGACGCCATCGACGACGACCGTTTCTGTAATAGCAGGTAAGCTATTTTGGTTTCTAAACAAATTTGAAGTTCATATTTTTTGCAAAATACGTCAATGAGATTTTATTCTCAGTTTTATTTATTTTTTTTTTTTTATTTTGTAATAAATTTTATTATTTTTATCTTCTATTTAAATATGATGACAGAAGATAAAATAAAATTTCTTTTTTATCATTCGACTAAAAAATTTTAAAAGCTCTTGGTCAGTTTCTTTTGTTGTCAGCTTGATAATAATAATATAAATATTATAAATATAAGTAAACTTTTTAAAATTAACATATTGATTTATTTTTGAAGCCACAAAACTATTTTTTTAAATTTTAATTATTCATGAAATATTAATTTCAGATCGTGACGATGTCGATGACGGTCCCCAGCGCCGACTCGGGACGACGTAGATGATAATAAAAAGGGCCCTCGCTACACGGCCGTGTGATGCGAAACTCTGACGGCCCACCGTCGTCAATTTACCGATTCCCGAAGTCGCGTTTGTTGATAAGGACCGACTATCACCGATTACATCGTCACGTGAGTGTTTAGTCAAATTATTCGTCACCGATCAAGTTCACTAAATACCACCAAAAACAATCGCTCGTTTATGAACGATGGATCGGTCGTATATTATCTCAAGCACGAGTGATTCTTCGTGGCAACAAATTGCGTCAATGGCATATGAGATATTGAGCCAAGTTTTGCGATAAAGTGTGAGCTTCTTAAACACATTTTAGACAGTCTGTAATAAGCGACAGAATTTGGCTTAAACAATTTAATTACGAACGCACATACATAATGCAAAAAGAAATTCGAGTAGTATAAGCTTTTTTTATTATGATCGAGTTTTTATAAGAGGATGAAGATTTTTATTAAAATTATAGATAGAATTTTGCCGCACACAGAAATTCTGTTCCGAGCTACGGAAGGTCTAAAGTGGGTTTTAAAGGCGGCTGCGCGTACAGTTAACGTAGTCGTTTGATCTATTTTGGTATATACATACATATATATATGTCTGTATAAGCGATAGAGAGAGAGATGAATCGATGTACATATATAATACGTGATAATGACTGCCGATGCACGCACAGACTCTAATAGTTTTATATAAAACGCTAGTGAATAATTAAAGTGTATCGATCTCAATAGAATTACAAGTGAATTAATAGCAAACGATTATACTGATCCCAATGTATACCAGATATATCAGAATTCTATTTTTTTTTGTCATCAATATTATAATCAAAACTGCAAAGAAAGATGTGTCAATGTTGGATACATCAGGAAGGCATCAAGTGACTTGCCGCTCGGTGCGATTGATCTGTAGATCAAGCAGCATGTCACTCGACGACCTATTTGAGTGGAGCATACATCAATATTACGTTACATTTAGAAGCTACTTAAGTTTAGATACGCGAGACAAAATTTCGATTTCAATTAATAGAGAATTAATTAATGAAAACATATTGTTTAATGATGAGTGTCGTTATTGATTAAAAATTAATACGTCATGAAAAATAACTGATAATTCATAAAAAAATATCCAAAATTATAAAAAAAATTATAAATTATAATAACTGAAAAGATATATCTTTTGAGACACTATATATAATAAAGTAAAATTGTATTAGATTTTCAACACGTGGATATATAGTGTACGTTATTCATTAATTCGTATAATTGATCGGAGTACATCGTCGCATCGACCAATAAAAATAGATTTTATTTTAGTTATAGATAATCCTTAAGATAAGAAAATCATGAAATAATACTTGGGAAAATAAATATATTTGCAAACAGAAAGATTTACAGATTTAGATCGATAAATTTACAGGTCGATGCTTAATACAAATATATCGATGTGTATGTACGTTTGTCTTCGATGACTTGCTCCGATTTATAAAAATTAATTTCGATACGTACAAAGGTAATACAAGAGAATTACCCAATTACATTATAGAATTTTACGAACATGATAAGTAGAATGAAGTATTTATTTCATATGTACAGATGTTAAAATAAAATTAAAATTCTTAAAATAACTGAATTTTTTTCATCTCCAAACTCTACTTAATTTTAGCTATAGATATTCATTTTTCAAATAAAATTCTATATCAATAATTAAATTAATCGTATTTGTAGCTAGAGAACTTTTCAATCTATAAAATTATAAACAAAATTCGATTTTAAATTGCAGCACAAATTTTAAGTTAAATAAGTTTCGTTTTACTATACTTACAAATTTATATGTTAAATTAGTAAGTTTATAATTTCCTAAATGTAAGAATAAAATATTATTTAATTCGATTTTTTTTATTTTATTACATGATGCATTGTTTTCCTTCTTTCTCTCTTTCTCTTTCTATTTGAATATTTCATTTTTGATATAAGTAAAAACAGCCTAAGGGAAATTCAAACATAAAACATATTTATCATGTATAAATTTATTTATATAAGTGAAATATATAGTAATATATTGCATAATAATGTATGCAAAATTATTGAACAATTAATATAAAAAATTAAGATCAGTAAAAAAGATCTTATTTTTACGTTTTACATTTATAACCTTAAATATATATAACTGCAGTTGTATATATTATAAAATTATTACTTTTATTGTATGTTGTTGAAAAAAATAAATATAATTATATAGTTAGTTCATATATAATTATAACGGTCAATTCATATGAAGATCAAAATAATATTATCACTACATCTGTCCACACTGAGATATCGTCACAGGAATCTTTGGTTTATTATTTGGTCCAGTAGGAACATTTTCTACCTTTCTCATGACAAGAAGGCCATCAATAACTCTACCAAAGACAACGTGCTTGCCATCCAAGAAATTACACTTGGCACACGTGATGAAGAACTGACAGCCATTGGTATCCTTGCCACTGTTTGCCATAGACAACAGACCAGGTGAGTCATGTTTCAATGTGAAGTTTTCATCAGGGAATGTTCCACCGCTGTAAATGCTCAACACCCCAGTACCATCGCCGTTGACAAAGTCACCACCTTGTATCATAAAGTCCTTGATTACTCTGTGGAAGATGGCACCTTTAAAACCCAACGGAACGCCATCCTTTCTGTACTCTCCGGTGCAAAACTGTCGGAAGTTCTCCGATGTTTTTGGACAGACATCCTCGAATAGCTCAAAGATCATGCGACCTATCTCCGTGGTTCCCACCGATACGTCGAAGAACACGACTGGGTTATTGGGGTTTCGCAGCTGAGCCTGAATCTGGTTCCAAGTAGGCATGGTTACTCAGGGTGCTTTTTTATCTCTAATTTGCTGCAAACTTGTAGTAGAATCCTTGAAAAGCTTTGAAACGTGGACGAATGATTCAGAGAAAAATGTCTTTCCTATCTGTGGAGGATCAACGCAAGTATAACCTCAAATACTGTTATAAGGTTAGGTTTCCTCCGGAATGATTTTGTGGCGCACAATTCGCACAAAACGGCTAAAACTGGTGTCCTGAAGCAAGGAACGAAAGACGAGCTTCGAGCTACGATTTACAATACTGTAAAAGTATCTCAACGTAAACACACCTTTCCGCGATCTGAAAATTTCCGTGATACCGCAAGATCGGTGGCACGGAACGACGAGAGGAGGTTAGCGTTCTGCGATACGTTAATTTCCTGGATAATTAGAAAAAAGTCACTCGCTGCGTGACACACGTTTTATATTATTGCGGAATGATTAATAATATGAATGAAACGGCACAAACGAACACCAGACGCGTGGTAAACATGCGTCGCAGTGGTGCTCATTTCGATTGACTTACCTTACTCGGCGATGAATCTCAGCGACAGAAAGAGATTCCAACAATAAATCTCAAGTGACGCATTTCCCTCTTCTTTAAAATATCCTCGTAACGACTCGAAATGGCACTCGTCGAGAGACTTCGAATTAAGAAGCAACGTGACCGGCGTCCGTGAAAAACTACCCGCGCTAATTACGCATTGGTCGCGTTCAGTAGACTCAACTCACAACTATTGCGAAGCGGAGTGTACCTGGGAGAATACACCAATAGCAGCGAATGCTAACGCGCGTGGAAACACGGATCCGCTCCGCAACAGTTGAGTCTGCTGAACGCGATCGTTGTTGTGTACTGCCGGTAATGGCAAGGTCACGTGACCGTACGCGCGAATTTCATTCTCCACGTGTCGCGATATTTAGCCTAAATGCCTAATAATTTAAGCCGGTATTCATAGTCTGTTTTTACTTTAAAACTTAATTTTCAATCTTTAAAAATGAGATCTCACTCCTTAAAGTGAGATTCACTTTAAAATTTTCTTATCTCTTTTCGTTTTTATATCTATTAAAAGTTAACAACAATAAAAGTTACAACAAACTTGAAAAGACACATGATTGTCGATAAAACAGTCGCAAAAAGGAAAAAGACAAGAGATTAAAAGCAAGAAACGGAAAACAAAGAGCACATTTCTTTTATTCCGTATTTTCTGTAGATTTTATTTTCTGCATCATATTTCTTTATCAATTGTTGAAACTGATTTCAATAATTGCACATACACATATATATATATATAGAGAGAAATCGACAATCATCTGTTCAATATGCAGGCAAAATAATTTTCATCATGATAAAAATCATGGTAATTTTTACTATGATTTTTATTTAATCTTACAATATCGTACACTATCACTTATCTCAGTGCCTTTTAAATTAATTTTACTTGTTCATTATTTTACCTAATAACTTTATTACTAATTTTATGTATTATAAAATTTATATGAATATATAACATGAACAGAAAAATATATAAAGTTACAATAAATCAAATTACAATTTTTATTTTGTTTTCGCGATACAGCATTTTTTTTCATGACAAGAGAAAGAGGAACATCTTTATGGTATTTTGCTTTTTATTCTTTCATTGAAAACGTTTTAATACATATATTTAAATTTTAAATGTATCTGTATTCAAAAATAAATTGTAATATTTATTGAAAATATAGAGAGCGATATAATTTATTAATTCATTAATAAGTAATCATTGCTTTACGAACAAATGAAAATGAAGATATAGAGAAAATAATTTAACTATATTTAAAATAATATGTTATGCATTTTATAACCAGTTAATTATTTAAAAATAATATAAAAAACGTTTAGAGATAAAAATAAACATTTAGAATGTTGTCCAAAAATATAATCTATATGTCTATCTTCCATTTAGAAAATATAAGCGTCTTATGCGTCTATATGTCATTAATACAAATTTAAATTAAAAGCAAATAAGTATAATTAGAATTTATTTGTCAATTTAATACAGATACAGTTGGATAGCAAAAAGAAAAAAATCAAATTTCTCTTACAACCATCTCTCTCTCTCTCTCTCTCTCTCTCTCTCTCTCTCTCTAAGGCTATCTTAACATTTATAATTTTTCGTTCAACTGGAATAAAAAGTGATTAATCTCTTTATTAAATTAACTGTTATATCATAGAGACAGATTTTGTTTTTTTTTTGTATGTATACTTGCGCATAGTAAAATTTTTTAAGAATTTCCGCATACATCGTATGGAAAAAGTGTCTTTAGTCAAATTGGCTGAAACTGTGATATTCTGTAGATTATGAAATGCTGATCAAAAGTTTCCTTAGGCCAAAGCATAAAAACAATTTTGTTGGCATTATTCAAAAATTCTATTTAGGGTTTAATCGAACTATCTTTATCTACTAAACTATTCGTCTTTGGTAACTTAATGCTTTTATGCACAAAATAATAAGTTGAATCAATTGATGTACAGAAAGTACATTTAATCCAAGCCACTTTTTCATACGATTTATGCGGGTTCTTTTATCCAGAAATATCATAAATTGTTGAACAATTTTGTAGTATATATTACAAAAAAGTAAATAAAACATAATTCCAAAATTTAAAAAATTGTAAGACACATTTAAATAAAAAAAAAACTAAAAATATATACACACATATATACATGTATATATGTGTGTGGTATATATATATATATATATATATATGTATATGCAAACAAAGTCATATTATAGCATTTTTTTGGATTCTATAAATATGTTTGACCTATATAATTAACTTAAAAAAACTAAAATGTATATTGTAAATTAGGTTTATGTACAATAACTGTGCAATTTATGTACATTAACTTCTTATCAGAATCAGTATCTTGTTTTACTTACATACTTCTCTAGAAATTAAACTTGTTACTTGTATACAGGTGATAAATAAATCTTGTGCATCTTAAGTCACTGGTAAGGGACATTCATCAAGCACATACTCACACATACTTTCTATAGAGTCATTAATAGCATGTGAAATATCACAAGCAATATGCAAATGATAAAGTGGAAATGATAATTATATGTGTATCTTGATGTGTTCCTTCAATATAGTTTTGCCTTCAAATCTTTCTTCACAGATTTCGCAAATAAAATCGTCTCCATCGTCGCTGTCGTGATGATACTGTATAATAACATGTGATGTTTCGTCCGGTATTAAAGAATCTTGCTCGTTTTTAATATGATTCTTTCTCTCTTTCAGAGTTTCAACGTCTATAGACATATCTGCGTCACTTATCTGTACGATTTGACTGGAATAATTCTCATGACCCTGCGGATTTGGTATCGTTAGAACGGGTAACGATTCGTTCTGCTTCGATATTATATTTAGAGTGTTGTCCTGTTTAGACTCGATCAAATGTATCGTGGGCATATCATTTTGCCCGACTGTTTCATCGAGTGTATCAGATTCTGCGGACATAATGTTCGTTGCGTCGTTTTGCTTGTCTATAGCAATCATATCGAGAGGATCTGTCTGATCTTGTTCTACTTGGAGTACCTGAATATTCTCATCTTCTTTACCATCAACGATGAATCGTATATTGCTATGCTTGAGTTCGGCTATTTCTATGAAGCCATCATTACGTTTTTCTGCGGCAACTACAACATACGCATTGTTTTGCTTTTCATTTATATCATGCATATCATCCGATTTATCAACTGTGTCAGTGATGGACAATAAGGCTTCGTTTTGCTCCGCTTTCTGCATAAAGTCCAAATTCTGTTCCGTCTGTGTGTTCACGTTACATGATGATGACTTTGATGACTTTTTCTTTACTGATTTCGACTTTGGAGAGGCTTCGTTATTAGTTTTCGCCTTTGCTTCAGCTATCATCTGATCCGAATGCTTAACGATATGCGCGCAGAGTTCGTCGCGATCCTGATTCAGAGCGCCGCAAAGCGGACACTGATACGGGGGACTTCCTTCCGTTTCGTTTTTCCCCGCTGCGTGAACCCATCGAACATGTTCGCGCAAGACTACCTTCTGATTAAAAGCCCTCGAGCACAATGGACACACGTGCGGTCTCTCCCCTGTGTGAATTCGCTCATGCTTCCTCAAAGTTCCACCGTCTCGAAACGCCTTCCAGCAATATTTGCAGCCGTACGGTCGTTCACCAGTATGTGTACGATTGTGTATTAAGTACCCTTGACGAGACGAAAACGTTTTCGAGCAGGTATCGCATTGAAAATGGGCCGGACTTCCAGCGTGCGTTCTACCGTGCTCCCAAAGACCCTGTCGTGACACAAAGCTCTTTCCGCATTCCATGCAAGTAAATGGCGAATCTCCAGGATGTACCGACAACCTGTGCTCGTCCAGCTCGTTCTGTTTTTCAAACTGCGAGCCGCACACCTCGCACGAGTGAGTCTTTTTGCGATGAATCCACTGGTGGCGAAACATCTTCTGCTTGGTCGTGAATTTCTTTCCACATTCCGAACAAGCGTGCTTACCCCATTTATTGTTAGACACACCTTGTTCGATGTTATTTTGCATTATTTTCTTAGTGCAGGTGATTTGATGAGTCGTCAAGTGATTCTCGTCTTGAAATTGTTTGTCGCAGTACTCGCACTCGATCGGCATATTCCAGTTGTTCTTCGAAGCATGAATCTTTTCGTGAGATGCTAAAGCAGTCGCACGGGAAAATTTCATTCCGCAATGTTTACATATGTACTGCTTGCTATTATTCATTTCGGCTTCTGCGTAATCTTGTTTATTCGCATTATTACATCTGTAAAGCGTCTCGACTTTGACTATCCCATCGGGAGTGTTGAACGAATTTATCGTTATGTTATATTGTTGACTGTTATTTACAGAATCATTGATATTATTTTGCTCGGTATACTCGCTAAATTGCGTCATTTCACCATTGGGCATCACTGTAAACTCTTGCAGCGTATCCATCTTGGCATCCTGACTCGGCATTGTGGTAACTATCGATTGTCCGCTATTAAAATTGTATGATGAGACCGGCCATTGAACTTGACATACATCATAGTTTTGTACAGACTCGACAGATGAAGAGGATAATACCACTTGAGAAGTGTTCTGTGAATCAGGCGGATTTTCTGGCCATTTTCTGAATGTCTCTGCTGGCTGGGATATATTATTACTCTGAGACTGCATGATGGCTCGTCCCGCAACATACGTGTGTATCTTCATGTGATTGGATAAACTAGAAGGCCTCTGGAAGTCCGAGCCACAGATGGTACATTTGTGTGGTCGTTCAACATGTTGTGTATGTGCCTGTATCGTATGTGATTGCAAACTCTGCTTGGAACGAAACAAGTTACCACATGTTCTGCATGCATGAGGACGGTCCACTTGATGGCAAACCATATGATTATTCAAATCAATCTTTCTTTCAAATCTCTCTCCGCAAGTAGTGCAAGATAGCTTGGACGTTGATTGACATACAGTCTGATGTTCAACTATTTCCTCTTGGGTAAAGAGATGTTTACAGACCGGACAACTGATCTTCTTGTCCTCGAAGCATGGATACATACCGCCCAGTTGACGTAGAGCTTCCACAGCCATGGACTCGTCGTCGCCTGATGTATACTGCTGCTGTTCCTCCTGCTTGATATACATCGGATACACTACCTGAGTATCGTCCTCCTCTTCCGACTGTTCCGCAAGGATCTCGATGGTACCTTGAGACTCTACGATGTCAGTACTAACAGTATTACTAACCGTGACCTCCGTAAGGCCTTCCTGGAGAACACATTCGTCGACCTGCTCGCATATCTCCTCATGAGATATCATGTTTTCCTCTATGGCATCGTGCACTTCACCAAGGGGAAACGTTACGTAATGCTCTGCCTCGTGAGTTTCCATTCTGCTTGTTATTTAAATTACAATTATCAACATATATTAACAAAATGTATTGTAACGTGCACGACGATGCTCGAGGGAACCTAGTTTCACCTCAAGTTAGGTCTTCTAGGTTAAGTTGGGGTTTATCATACCTGGACGTCGCGTACTCGTGTTTATTGTTCTGTTAGACGTCAATAACACGTCGCAACGATTATCGTGCACGATTTGCAGTCACTGAGTAATATATATTCCTTTTTTCGTTCTGTGGGAATACGAATACCGATATCAACCGACATCAACCTGGAAAGAAAGAAAGCTTTACGTACAGTTTTACATACGATTTATGAGAGCGTATTTGCAGTGATTTGAAGATGCATACGACGTGCGCACAACGTGCGGAGAAATTTCCGAAAGAATAAATCAAGTCATTTTAATGATTCAATTAACACTGTCAGCTGTAGTACTTGCGAGGTTATTCATGGAGTAGTGCCCCATATCGAGTACTGCCTGAAGTTGCGCGATAGTGAACAGTCTTTCGATAGAAGAACGAGAAACTCTCGATACTTTCAAATAATTAAATATCGTAATTATATATCCTCGTCCGTTGTATAATATCGATGCGTCTGATTTTTTGGAAAGACTTTAACTAGGAAAGACATACAATAAATAATAAGTAATAATTAAAAAAATTTTGAAAATAATTTTCTTTTATACATTATATTTACAAATTATATTTCTTGCTGTTGTTTAAATGAAAATTACTTGCTACGAAGAACTATATATAGAAAAAAGAGTAATAAAAAAAATTAATCTGAGATATTTTCTTAGCTCTGCATTTTATTTTACACTTCTAGCTTCAAAGTGAGATGGATGGATACATATATGAGATCTCAGAAGAAGGAAAACTGGTATAAAGTACAAATAAAAAGTGCAAATAAAAGGATTAAGTCTCTTATCGCAAAGAGCGGCAAACTTCGTAGTATTTATCTGATGACATAAGTTTCAAAGGTTATATTTCTGACTGACATAAGCATTATTACTGTGAGATTGTAATTATAACAACTTTCTTAAGTAATGGCAACTTTTGATCAGCAAATAATTACACTCATAGATAATAATTGATGAGCACAGTTTAATAATTAAATATATCTATTACTAATTATTTAATTCTATTAATTAATTCTATCAACATTCGATTGAAATTCATGTTATCATGAAAAACGAGAAGGAAGAAACTTTAGCAGGATGGAAAATTATATGGTGGTTATTCAAATTATTCGGTCTTCCAATTACCATTCCTTGGTTGGTGTATCATTTTTATGATATTATGCTGCAAAAGCGGAAAAAAATAGCTCTTGATAATAAGGTAGTATCTTGTGAAGTTTTTGAAAAAATTTGTTATAAGTATAAAATATATAAAATATAAGCAAAATATATTTCACAAAATATATATTTGAATATTTCTGTGGGTATATTTTTGTTATATTTGATTTAATTCAGGTTGTTATGATAACTGGCGCTAGTTCTGGCTTAGGAGAAGCTTTAGCTCATACATTCTATAGCTTGGGTTGCAGAATTATCTTGGTATCTCGTAGAAAAGAGGAATTGGAGAGAGTAAAGAACGATTTGATGAATACTCATCAAGTATGTAACATAATACACGTTTCAATAGACAAATTTATTGGATATCAATTATTCTGCTTTCCTTTTAGACAGTTCCAACATATCCACCTATTGTTTTATCATTAGATTTAACTGATATTAATAACTTGAAAAATAAAGTGTCAAAAATTATAATGGTACATGGCAGAATTGACATTCTAATTAATAATGCTGGTATTTCATATAGAGGAGAAGTTATTGACACAAATGTTGATGTAGATATAAAAGTCATGTTATCGAATTATTTCTCTCAGATTGCATTAAGCAAAAGTAAGTATATTACTTAAGAGATTTATATAGACTACTGTATATAGGCTCATAATTTATTATTGATTTACAGTTGTTCTGCCATACATGATAGAGCAAAAGTCTGGTCATATAATAGGTATAAGTAGTGTACAAGGGAGAATTGCTATTCCATTTAGGCAAGTATCCAGTTATAAGTCAATATCTATTCTTTTTTCGGCGAATTGCTTAATTATTAATTTTTAGATCTGCATATGCTGCATCTAAGCATGCATTACAAGCTTGGTATGATACTGCAAGAGCAGAGCTATGTGACAAAAATATAAAATTCACGGTTGTCAATCCAGGATATATTAAAACATCTCTTTCTCTTAATGCCTTGACAGGAAACGGGCAAGTTTATGGAAGTAAGTAACTATATTCTTAACAGAAATGTTAAATATCTTAATACATCCTCTCCATATGTGATTTTTTAATATACGTTATTTTATCATAGTAATGGATAAAACAACTGAAAGTGGTTTTCAACCAAAGTATGTAGCTGAATGTATTTTAAAATCTGTATTGAAGCAAGAAAAGGAAGTTACTATTGCATCATTTTCTCCAAAGTGTGCTATAATACTTAGAACTCTGTTCCCTTCACTTTATTTCTGGATTATGCAAAAGCGTGCGAGAAAATTAGCACGAGACAAATAATATTATTTTATATATAAAATAAAAAATATCAGAAATCATGTAATTATATAATTTAATAGAGGTTACGGATAAAATTTTATAATCAACTTTCAAGTTATTATGTTCATTCATATATATGTACATGTATATATATATATGAAAGCAAGGGATAGCAGTTAAATAAAATACACTATTCAAAAGTATATTTTATTTATATCATAGCCACTCTCTGACTAGTGGAGTATCTTTACATTATGTACACTTTATTACTATGAACTTTTAATTGGAACTGTGTGTGTGTGTGTGTGTGTGTGTGTGTGTGTGTGTGTGTGTGTGTGTGTGTGGGG